TCCTCGTTTGCTAGTACATTAAATCTTGCGATAAATGTGTTATCAATCATGTCTAACATGGACAAATGAATGATATGTTTTCCTTTTCAGTAACTATCGGTCAGGAGGCAAGTGACCAGTCTTACAGAGTCAGCCTCTTGCAGCACAAGGTGGAAAACTTGGTCAAGAACTTGCTGGGCGTGGAAAATGTCAAAAGGAAAGGTAAGCCCATTGACAGGCAGGAAGACAGGAGGTCAAGTTCCTGGAAATATAGGGTGGAGCTGAGAGTAGGCTGACAGCACGTGGCAAGAAGATTGACAGGCAGGATGACAGGTCAAGATGTCAGACACAGGAAATGGGGTGAACTTGAAAGTCACGAAAACCCCAAATACTTCCCAGAAATATGCAATCTCCTTTTTCTTGTTTAAGAATGGATATATTGTAGTGTAAGACAGAAAATCTCTAACGACTCATATGCTAAATTTTGCCGCGTCTTCCCACAGAGAACTGGCTGGTGTCAGACCCTTCATGGGCTGTGCTAGCATCCGGGACACAAGGCGTCATCGACAACCGGACCTTCGACGCTCGCAAGACGCTCGATGGTGACGTCACAACCCACTGGGACCCGGCTGGCTCACGGTACGACAACGACTGGTACATCGTCCTCGACTTGAAATCCATCCACGACATTTCTAAAATCGCCCTGACCAATTACGGCGACACTACACATGACGTCACAGAGTTTAGCCTCCAGGCGTCGGTGACGTCATCGCCGTACGAATGGAGGGATGTACTACAAGTCAGTGACGTGCAGGCGGGGACCAATCGTTCGCAAGTGTTTGGGGAGTTTTCGGTGACGTCACGGTACTTCAAGTTCACGGTCACGTCGACGCAGCAGGGCTGGCAGCCGTGGCTCCGTGAAATTCGCTTCTTTGGAGCCAAAACGGCAGGTAGGTCTTGTTATGGAAGTATTGCTTTGGGTGGCCGCGCTGTGGGCTTGTGTTTATCTGTCCGTATATAGGCACGTGAGCGGGAAAGATTGAAAGGCACAATGACAGGCAGTCAAAAGGTCGGGCACAGGAAATGGGGAGAGCGCAAAAGTCTCAGAATCTGGCCGGGATCCAGCAAAAATAAATGGTCGACCTGGGGGAATTCAGGAAGCCGAAGAGTCTGAAATCTCCTATTTCATATTTACTGAAGACTTTCTTAAATGTTTGGAATTTTAGAGTTATGCCACAATTCGCGAGAAAGATATTTTTCTATGTTTTAAGTACATGATTGCAATTTACTTTTACAGAAGGGAATTGTGAAGCCGGATACAAGTCCCTGGGAAAAGGCTGTTTCCGCTTCTCTACGAACCAACTATCGTTTGAAGACTCCCGCAAGATTTGCCGGGAAGATGGCGGCCATCTTGCCATCGTCAAGGATTCCACGACTCACGCACAAATCACGGACTACATCAGGAGCACCACAAACGGCAGCCATTGGATAGGGCTGCAGCTGGAGGCTTTGGGGGCGGGGCGAGGCAGGAGGGGACTGTTTTTCTGGGAGGACGGGACTTTGCTGACAGGGTGGAAGGGGTGGTATGAGGGAGAGCCGAGTTCTCTTGGACGAGGTGGAAGTGCAGACTGTGTAGAAATGGCCGACTTTCAGAACTATGCGTGGAACGATCAATCATGCAATGATGAAATTTTCTTCATCTGTCAGACGGACAAAATTTAAGGCAGCTTTTAGAAAATAAGTGGGTTCGTGGTGTGATGCATTGTGGGCAATATGTCAAAGTTGAAGATCCCTGAAAGATAAACAAAACCCGTCTGGACATGTATCAACTGTTTACAAGTTGTGTACCTTCACGTTTGTCCTCCCGCCTGCGCAGTTCAAACCGTGAACCAGCTTATTACACCCAAGTAGTGAAGGTCCACTAGTCTGGGAAGTAGAATTCCGTCCTTCATTTGCATAATTCTACTTTTAAAATTCACAAAGCATATATATATATATAGTTTGTGTGATGCGTTTAAGTTGTGTGCTAGTAAGATGAATGCGTTACATATATAACCATAACACAACATAGCTATAGTGAAGGACATTATTTAGGTCCTTGTTATAATTAAAGTTTCTATATTAACGTTAGCTTCCATAGTATAACCATCACAGTGCAGCTATAGCTTCTGTGGAAGGTGTCTGTTAGGACGGAATGCTGTTGAGTACTGGTTGAAAAATCTAGCTTGTTATTTTATGGGTCCTGGTAGATAGAATACACAATTGCAAAGTTTTGTCTGGGGTTACCGGCATTCTTTCAAACTAAACTAAATGTTTACCGTTGGAAAGGATGGAATTACAACGGCACCCTTTTGTTTTAACAATGTTGTCATGTTAGATCATTGTCTGCTTGTATGTAGAAATTTTGATTTCTTGATTTCCACCATTAACATCTGCCCCATGCCTCTTGATCAGCACCAAGGTCAGCACCAGTTAAAATTCGATCCTTCTAAAATCCTTCTGAATCGCCGCAAAGGTAGGCTTGTTCCAGGCTACGAGATCCTTCTGAAAGGCCGCATGGTCAAGTCTGTTCCAAATGTTCACTGGTGCTGACCTTGGTAAGGATTCTTAACAAAACACTAGACGGTTGTGAGTGAGTAAATTTAGTATTTTGTACCGCCATACGGTCAATCACAAGGGCCAATGTGCAACTACACTGCTACGGTTACGGTTACGGTTACTCACTCACAACCGTCTAGCGTTGAGTTAAGAATCCTTAGCGGATCGCCTAAGTCGTGCTCAAGCTGCTCAACACACTCCAGTACTGCTGTACGTTGTAGGTTAGCAGGCCTGAAACGACGTCTAAAAAGAGTTTAAAAATACCCGTATCTGTTTGTATGGAGATTCTAAACTCAACGCTAGACGGTTGTGCGTGAGTTACTTCAGTATTTGGTACCAATACAAGATTCATCAGAAAGTCAAAGGCCAGCTGCCCTGCAACAGTTACGTCATGGTTACGTCGGCCACAGGTAAATATGGCCTTGCAATTTGCAGACAAATCGGTAGAGGCCACTGCTACACCGTCCACCTGCCAGGTACTGTCAATACGTTTCACCGACGTCAGGAGGTTTTTGCTGTGAGGGGACACCTGTTTCCGACTCCAAACCCTAATCATAACTTCATTCTAACCATAGTGATAACCGTAACAACACCTAAAACATACAATGGTGAAACATAAGCGGAAAAAGTCATTTCGGTAGCGCTTTTCGGCAATATTGCCACGGACGAGATGGTTTTTAGTATGATGTAATCACGCAACCACCCAGGTTTCCACATCAGGGGCTAAAATGTAGGTTTAACGAATTCCGGTATCGTGGAATATTTCGCTGAGAATCAACCCTTGCACACCCCTTTTCTTACTCGTGAGTTTATATTGTTCCAATTCTTACAAATTTTAGTTTCTTTTGGACAATGTAGGAGATCTTGATTGTCCTACGAAGAAGTTTACGAAGAAGTGCAGAACGCAATCATCCCCTATATGAGACTCCTTTGAAACTGCAAAAGCATCACCGAACTTGTAAACAAACATGGCGGCCCGGTTGTGTTTTGTGCGTGACATTAGTGGATCGGTGGACGGATTAGTGGACTACCAACCTTCCTTGCACCGAGTTAAGAGAGCAGACAAGCGTAAGGGACACCCAAAAAACGGGATGAAAACGGATATAGTCGCGCAGACGAATTACGCAGCGAATTACAACAGTGCAGTGGTAGAAAATACGATCAGCACCAAGGTCAGCACCAGTTAACATTTGGAACAGGTTTAATCGTGCGGCCTTTCAGAAGGATCTTGTAGCCTGGAACAAGCCTGCCTTTGCGGCGATTCAGAAGGATTCAGAAGGATCGAATTTTAACTGGTGCTGACCTTAGAGTATGAAATAATCGTTCCCTTGACTACAAAGCGTCATGACGTCGGTGAAACGTATTGACACTACCTGACTGACTGGTGGACCGTGTAGCAGTGGCCTCTAGCGATTCGTCTGCAAACTGCAGGGTCCCATTTACCTGTGGCTGACGCAGGGCAGTTGCACACTGGCCTTAGTCTTTGTGATGAACCGTGTATTGGTACAAAATACTGAAGTTAACTCACGCACAACCGTCTAGCATTGAGTTTAGAATCTCCATACGCCTGCTAGGAATTAGATACGGGTATTTTTACTCTTTTTTAGACGTCGTTTCTTCCTGCTAACTTAGAACGTACAGCAGTACTCCAGTACTCAGTAGTGGGGTGTGTGTTGAGCTTTACCAAGTAGACCATGCAGTAGCGCTCTCCAGCGATATGTCTGTAAAGTGCATCGACATTAATATTTCTGGGAGCGAAGCATGTGCATACTTACCATCTTGATACAAGACTTAGGCATAGGCTAGGAACACCTTTCATTTTTTTCATTCATTTGTTCCTTCATTCAGTTTATTGCTTCACATCAACACCAACCTAATTACCAAAGAAATATAAACCAACACAACATTAGGTTTCCACTCGATACGATTTATTTCATCATGCCTGAAACCTACAGATGATGTGTCAAATGACAATTTTGTCACGTCTGTCTACTGATACATATCACACTTGTACCAGTTTTACCATTCTATGAGCAGATAGAAAACTTGTGAAAAAAAACCTACAGCGAACACATAATGCAATTTGACCATTATTTGACTGAATATATTCACAAATTCACCAAATTGACTATTTCCGGGAATGTTGCCACATGTTGGGACACTACTTTCACTCTAGGTGCGCTTTCAGCATAAAAACAAAGGAGTTTCAAATGAGTGTCATATAGAGGATGATTGCGTACTGCACTTCTTCGTACACTTCTTCGTAGGGCGATCAAGATCTCGTATATTGACTTGCTCTATGATTTTTGCCAATATTATGAAGAGCAATGTTTAGTCCATTCATTCATAGTGGATTGCCCAATAAAGTTATAACTTTTGTCCCTCCTGGCACAATGGACCCTTCCAACAGGAGGTCAAAGGTTGAACTTCCTGCCAACATGGCGGCGGTAACTTGAGGAATTTCTCATTTTTCTCGTCCGAATTTTCGTTTTTCTTCTCTTATTTGAATCGGGTGGCGGAATCTTCCTATCAGAATAGTTAGAATGGCTGCTCACGAAGATCTGTTCCAGCTTTGGATGCTGTTTACGTGCAAGGTATGTGTGAGAGCGAGCTCTTTTTCTCGGTCTTCCTCATAGTTTGTGGAAGTTTTTAGAGATTTTCTACTTTTATATGGCGACATTTATTTCCACCATATATTCTATATTGCCTGCTTATACTACTGTCTATTGGTTAATTTTTAAATGATCACTAAGATATCGTGTACGTTTCACAAGATAAATCTGTATACCGCGATATTTAAAGATATATATCAGCAAAATTTTCGCTGTGGTTGTTTTACTCTTGGATGCTCTCTAGCTATCTCCTACCAAGGAGTTTAAAATCATCTCCTTGGTCCTACTTAGTTTTTTTTTCGCCAGGCTATACGGAATAATATAACGTCGTCAGTGATTTGTAGCTGACTTGATTACATTAGCGTCCTGTTGTTTTGTGTGCATTACCGGTTTGCGGCGCTACGGGTCGCCTGTGGTGCCCCGCCCCGTACTCAGCGTGTTTCCGCCCCAAAACAAACAATATCCCGCCCGTCTGTGCCACAAGGGGAGCCGACAAAATGTCAACAAAGGTCCCGTGATCTCAATTCAATAAACTAAAATCTCCAAACAGATGTTTGAACATAACATTGTAACGTTTTCTGACTCCACAGTTGAAAGACGATGTTACGATTTTACCCCCAATATCTGCTTGGAGATAAGATCATGTTTAGTCTCGTGATCTCTCACCAATGATCTCACAATCTCCAAGCAGATGGTAGAAGGAAATATCGTTATATTTCATGGCTGCACAGTTTCTTTTAATTTTCCTGGTCCTTCTCCCTACAATTTTTCCTGGTCAATCTAAGGGCTCAAGGTAGTTTTTCAAAACAGCAGCATTGTGTAAATACATGTACTAAGAAGATCAATAAACTGCAACTTAGTGCAAGAGTTATAAACCAGTCTAAGGACTGTGTGCTTAGGGCAAAGATCAAGTGCCGTGTTCCCTAGCCAAAGTGTAATTTATAAATCTAAATTTACTCATTTGAAAAGTTTGTACATATTCATTTCTTTCAAAATTTTCACAGAACTCTGAAATCTTTCTTTTCTATCCCTAAGTAATTTTTACAAAATACTGTAGTACTCCATTTAAAAAGAAGAGGAAGGTTAAACCAGTAAAATCAGACCATACCAGCTCTAACATATGTTATTTAATTCCAGAATGATGACCGGTTCTTCCGACAGTACATAGACGCCTTTGTGGCACAATATGGTGATCTCATAGACTTGGAATTCAAGCAACCAAAAGAAGGGTAAGTGATACTGTTTTGCTGTAACACTTTAAGGTCTCGCATGTCCATATAACATAACCTGTCTGTGCCCATATTATTATGTAACTCCAGCCTACATGTATGTCTAGGATATTAGGGAGTAGAAGAGAGAATATGAGAGACTTTTGAAATGGAGGTGTATGAATGAATGAATGAATCAATCAATGAATTAATCATTAGGTAATGTAAGAATTTTAAAATCTTCAAATCAGTTTTATATCAGTTTTTTTTTAAATGACACAAAATACAACCATCACAAAATTAAATGCACTTACAGTATATGTGTGTGTGTGTGTGTCTTGGCCCTTGCAATGTCTTTGAATGCCAGTATTGTGTGCAAACTTGGCCTGCTGACAGCACAAACTATGTGCAATAGATGGAATTCCTTCTGTACCTTGGAGTGGTGGCATATGGTCCCCACCTGACCTGTCTGTCAGGACTGGTCCAAAACATTTTTTGGGGGAAGGGGGAGGTATAAAGTCATTGCAGTTCTCATGCAAAATGCCACAAAATTCCCTTCCTGAATTACAAAACTGTGGACCAACTGCTTGGTCTATTTATGGGTTTGCAATTATGCAAAACCTGATTTGCTTTTTTTTTCATATCATGTGCATTATATCCACTGTGGTGTAGGCTATCCATAGTCACCATTGTTTAGAGAAATCTAAAAAAAATCACGAAGTAGCTGCACTTTGGGTTTGAAGGCATCATCAAAGAAAGGCATATAAATTCCGGTAAGCCAAAAAAAGTTGTTTTTTTAACTACATATGTGTATTGAAAATTTGACCCTGTAGTAAAAATCTAAAGATGAAATATAACATAATGGTTTTGTGACTTTACAGTAAAATTCATGATCTGACTTCCTGTCTGTCCGCAGGGTGCAGGCATCTGGGCCGCACCTGACACGGCTGCCTGACAGCCTGCTCCAGGTGCTGTCCCGACAGCTGCTGCAGGCCAGGGACACCTGTACCCAGCAGGTTACCGCCGAAACAGTGCAGTATGCAGAAACGCTTACCAAGTGTCTCATCATCATTTGTAGGTCAGTACTTAACAAATCAATCATTCCTTTGTGACAATTTTTTGTCAATATTTTGTTTTATTTGTTATTGATGTAAATTTTGGGCTGATTCTGTCAGTATGCATTTTTCCATTGGCTCCCATAAGGCAACAGTCATGCATATAGCAGGGAATTGAGACAGGAAATGAGATAAGCTTTTCTGGGACCTTTGAACTAACTTCCTGGGACCTTACAATGCATCTGCGTGAATTAGCATTGATCATGAGTTTATTCTACATTTCTACATCTACAGGAACCATGACAATGTAGATCTGGTGGCCTCCTGTTCTTATGTAGGCTACATCATCACTATTGCTGCAGAACTGGTACAAGAGGTGAGAATTAACTTCTGAAAGCTTAAATCATACAGGGTAAAGCATTGTCATCACACGGGTACTAGATTTATTTATACATAGAATATCAAACAAAATTAAGAGATACAAAAACTAGTGCTACTATGTTTAGCATGCAACAGTATGCACATTGATAGGTAAACAGAAAAGAATTTCAGCATTGTTAAACTGAACATGATGATGTTTTTCCCTACAGTTTACACAGAGGAACATTGCCCAGAGTGGTGAGATTGCCTGTTTTGAGACATTTCTCCACCATGCCATCCACTTCTGTGAGTGCCTGTATGACCCCTACCACAACTGGAGACATGAGTTACTAGGGTAAGTCAAAATATAATATTTGATGACCTAACCTAAAGTGTTTATGGTGACATAATGCCTCCTTCGGTCAATATTGACTTACTATGTAGTACCTAGTATAAATCAATGTCTTTTTGCTCTCTTATAGAGGTTATTGATAAGGAAATATGTCAAAACATACAATGTAATGTGAATGTGGTTACTTTTTTTTTCAGAATGAAAGTTGATATTTCTAGGCAGAAGTTTAGACCAGCTCTTCTTAATGTAGAAGTCATTCCATTTTTCTATGGTAAGTTTCTATAATCTATGTTATTTCCTCTAGTACAACTTAAAGTAGAAAAGTGTGTTATCCTCAATTTAGTTTCTTTAAAAGATTATCTAAGTATTTTGTCACTATTTTACTGATGTAGACATTATCCCAAAGTTTTTATAATTGTTATTTGGATTAAAATCTATTCATTTTCGTGAATAACCTACTTCACAATTTGAAGTGTGTATCATACAAGTGTGCACTTTATTTTTTTTTCCAGACTGCTTGCATAGATACGAGTCTTGCCTGAGCATTGAGATCAAGTCTCGACTGCTGCATATGTTTGGTGCCATTATGGCTGGGTCACAGGTAAGTGATTTAACAAGTGTCTATTGACAAGTTTAGAAAGTACCCTGGGTACTTAGCTGGGTAGCTGTGGTGATTTTAACAGGATTCTCTCGCCTGCAGTTAATTGTGTTATTTTGAATGGGTTTGTCTGTGGGTTTGTGTGTATGCTTGTCCAGCAGACATGGCTGCAGGGAGAGTGGGCGGAGATTTGGTTACTACTCGATTGACAGGTAGGGTAAGCGTGAAGGTGACCCAGCATGCACCAGGTGGGAGTAAGTGGGCAGTGTTCGGAGGAATTCAGGAAGTAGTTGACTGTGTCCACATGTATAATAAGATTGAAAGCAAGAGAAGCCTTGCAACAGTTGAGTTACCACAGCTTTTAGCTTGGGCACAACATTAAAAGCACCATCATTTGAAATGACATATCTTTCTTGAATATTTATTTAGGCTCAACATTTTTTCATAGTCCCCACTTAGTAGTTATGTTCCCCACACCATAGCTGAACCTCTTTTTCTAGTCTTTGTGTACCACTGTATTCCTGACTGTTGTCCCATTCCTTTCCAGAATTTGATTTGGCAAGCTTATTTTACAGGCAAGCTGGAGGTACATTGTCCTGATTTGTCCCCCTGATACCCTCTACTAACATTTTGTACATTTTTTCCTGCATGCACATACTTAAAGGCATGACACTGCATGCATATGCTGCACACTACACATGTCTTGACATTTCTTTATTTTGCCACACTGCCTTTTGTTTATTATCTACAAATTGAGTGGAAAGAACAAAACTCTGAGTGAAGGTAGCATTCCTTAGCCTGTGTTATACAACTTATCGCTTTTAGGTGTTTATTTGCCTCCATTCTGAGAGCTTGTGACCATAGAACTCTATCTTGAGAGAACCTAGAACTACCAATAGGGTCGCAGGATTCTTTGCCACTATGAAAATCAGTCCAATAGGAGCTCAAAATTCTCTGTCACCATGGAGAAGAGTTTCTGATTGGTCAAGTTGCTAATTGCCATGCTGCCATTGGTTGAACTGCTAATTGCGATGGGCAGTCAGGATCAGTCTATTCACTTACGGAGGTGGGTGGGTAAGGTGGCACAGTGGAGAAATTCAGGAGACTTGTATCTTGTATATTATGTAGGTTTTAGACTTGATGTTATGCATTCTATAGTACTAACTCTTATTTCTCCAATATATATAGAATTGGGCAGGAAGGCACAACTGACATCCCATATTGTTGGAAATGATAGACACTTTGTGGCTTTTGTATTTTGTTCTCATAACTGTGTAAAATGTTGCTACAAGATAGTCCTCTCAAGTCTCAATAGTAGGAATGTTCACTGTGGTTTTATTTTTGCAGTAGCAGTGATTGGGTGTTTCCAATGAAGTACTACTACACTACAGAATTATTTCAACTGTGAATTTAGAATACATGTACTGTCAAAACATCCTTTTCTCTAATACTGTGAAATAAAACCACTGGGAAAGTTAATAGATTTACAGTAACAGAAAAAAACAACAACAGTATAATAAAAATTTGCCACAATTCTCCCTACTACAGAACAATGCCTTGCTGGCAGTGTCCCCTGCATCCCTGGAAGTCTTGTTCACCATCCTGTCGTCAGGCAGCCCCGCCTGGCAACCAGAGGGCGACGACCTGGAGTTCACTGACCTGGCCTTGAAGTGCCTGGTGAAGATGGTGCACACTGTCCATGCCTCAAGTCCTGAGCAGGTAAAGATCTTGAGATATTTTAAGAGTTTTGTCTATCAAATTCTGAAAATTAGTTCTGCACACATTGAAATCTTGTCACATGCATAGTCAAGTGGTTAGTGATCCTGCCTATCTAGAGGTTGTTAGTTTGAATCCTGTTGTTGTTGTTGTCCTTGCTTTTGTGTGTTGTCGCTCTTCCAACATACGCACTACTATAAAGGGGTTGCAGTCCTTAGGACAAGACGTTATTAAGCTAAGGTCCACTGTTTATTGTACTTTTTGAAAGGAGCTAGGGCAATTTCTGTGTTACGATGGACCTGTAGATACATAGTGTCTGTCTTCTCTGTCTCAATCAGTGGAAGATTAGCTCTTTAGTGAGCTGAACTGGCTTGAGATCACTTTGAAATTTCAACTGTCCAAGACGTCCAACTATTTAAAAACGTCTTTATTTTGTAGAGAAATAGAAGATCTCTGCTGCACTTCTTTCCCTTAATATTCATGTATCTTTGTCTCACTGCATAATATTCCCTGTATAGGCTGGTTCACAGTTTAAACTGTGCTTGGTCAGTGTGATGCATTGCAGACTATATGTCAAAGGTGAAGGCCCCTGAGATATAAACAAAACAAGTCTGGACTTCTATTAATGTTCTAGATGAGAACTGTTTACTGAAAAGTTAGGGGGTCTTTATCTTTGACCTCACATATGCACAGTTCAACCGTGAATTGGCTTATTGTCTCTGTTCTCACTGGTTGCACTTGTCTCACAAAAGCATGCTACCAGGATGTATGTGTCAGTTAGTAGTATGGTGAGTCCTCTTAGGTTTTGTACTGTTAGGAGGTGTGACCTTTTTTCTACACAAAATAGCCTTACATGTAACTATTCTACAAGTATAAGAACTACTTACTGTTGTAGAATATATCCGTTTAGTAGCAATAGTAGGCTTTTCTATTCCTTGTCAAAGGAAATCCATTTAAATCTGATTGTAGTTCATTGAATGAAGATTTGTAGTGTTTATTTATTAGACATTACACAAGATCACTAGATGCAAGGAGTAACATTATTGTATTTGAAAGACATTTTCACTTTTTTTCTACAGAGACAAGTTGAAGTGAGTTCCATTCTTGAAGGCTTCTTGCAACTCCTTAACAAAGGGTAAGTTTAATGTATTTTGTATTGTAAAGTTCATCTGATATGTACTATGGGTTTGTTTTAGTTTATTATATATGAAGACAATAAAGATAGGTACAGAAGACAATTTAATATATGAAGAGATTATGATAACAATGAAGAGATCTAGATGGATCCAAAAATTTTTCCCCCAAACAATTTTTTAGTGCAAACATGCATTTTGAAGTTGTTTTTTGCTGGTTCTGAAACAAGCTTTCTTGGCTTTCTGTCACATCCTGTGTTGTGTGCATGTGCTTAGTCACCAGTCAAACATCACACCACTGTGTATGTGAATTACGAACTAGCTTACTACTGGTGACATAAAATAATCTTTTCTGTGTTCAAACACATCTTTGCCAGTCTTGCAGAAATAACCACTCGTTCAAATGACACTCAATTAACCCAAAGGAGCTTGACGTTCAACATTGCAGCATTGGCAAAGTTTTTTGTCACTTACTTGAATGTCTTTGATAATAGATTATGGTTTCAGTTGTTATCAAGTTTAGACTTACCGTAGACATGTATTTCACACTGTGCATTGTCTTGAAACATATGACATTTTGTAGATTCTGAAGCACCATCATCATTCATGGTTCATGACACCACAAAGCAATTGTTTCTGATTCAAACTGAATAAAAGAATCCCACTTCTGCCACCAACTTACAATCCATGTACACCAGCTTTATTGTATGAAAACTGACACTGTTATCACCTTGACTTTGGCCATGCTGTCACACATTCTATCATCTCTGTAGCTTACAGGCCTTCCCTGGTAAACACACAGGAATGTCCCAGTGGTTGAGGTGTGTGTACGCCCCCTATACATGTACATGTGTACTGCAGCTGCCAGATTCGCCGCCGCCTGTTCATTTTTGTTCCATTTTTTTCCTAGCCTTGCCCCGCTTGCATGTCCTTGACAAGGTTGCAACTAGTACTGCCCTTGAATTCCATTGGCTGCTAGTAGAACTGTTCTTGAATTTGATTGGCTGCGAGTAGAACTGTTCTTGAATTTGATTGGCTGCACTTAGTGCCTTGTAGCCGAAGCAATGTTTTCTAATTTTTGCTCATTTGCTAGTAGTCATCTATACAGTCACCTAGATTTAGAATTTCTATGTTTTGAACGAGTTACAAAAGTAAAAAGCAGGGTTTAGAATGTCTAGAATTTTAGAAAGTTTAGAATTGGCCTGATGTCACCTAGGTATGATTTCCACCACAATGTCTATCAAACATTCATGAGTTAAGAAATGAACTTCCAGAGATGTTTAAGAAATAATTTGAATTCTAGTGCAGTGCAGTTTACCAGTTAAGAGTGGATGGGGTATTATTATTTCATCATAGTAATTTCATATGAAGCATGGGACAGAAATTCCCAATCATATTAGCAATTTTGTACAATTTGTTTTACTTTCTTTAGTAAGTAATTATACTGTAATGATTGTGTAATGATTAATTGTATGACTTTCAAACATGCGACTTGCAAACATGCAACTCAAGATATTGCAGTGTAGGTGCAATGTACATTGTGGTGTACATGTAGTTGCAAAAAAAGGAATGCGCTGCACTGGTAATTGTTAAAATTACCGGCAAACACATGTATGGCTATTTTTTTGTTGCTGTTGCTGTGTTGGTTTGTTGTCTTGGTTGATGATACATTCATTGAAATATGTGTAGTACAAGAGTATCTTTATTCAAATCTGTTCATTGAATAACTTTCTTGATGTAAATCTCAGAGTCTGATAGAATCTGGTCAATTTCTTTGGTTGACTAAATTTTTTCCACAGACAAAAATAGGCAAGACCTGATTTTTGAAAAAAGTTTCTATTTAGGTATATAAATGTTTATTTTTTAAAACAATCTGTTATAATTCTGTCACAGATCACAAACAGAAGACAAGCCAGCAGCTGGGAAGACAGAAAAAGAAGTGGAACTTCAGACCAAAATGTTAGGTAAGGCCTGTCATGACATTGGGTCTGTTATCTGTTGTGACAGTTGAGGAGTAAAAGAGAAGATGTTCTGATTATATCTGTGATGTGAATTATCTTGTCCCTACAGTTATCATCCCAGCGATGTTGGATTGTCGTGACAGGGCGGCTCTACAGGCCATCTTCCTGGGGGCCAACTGTTTTGAAAACCTCATGCTGCTGCTTAAAAATGTTAAGGTAATACTGTAAGGCTAGGTGTAACAAGACGTATGATTATGTACTTGTCCTTGGTGCTGAATTTATTACTGATAGATTAAGTTTTAGAAAACTTCAATGACATATTTTAAGATTATGTACTTGTCCTTGGTGCTGAATTTGTTACTAATAGATTAATTGTTAGAACACTTCAATGACATATGATAGTATCCTTGTCCTTGGTACTGAATTTATTTCTGATTGATTAAGTGTTACAAAACTTTACTGAACTGTAGTTTTTTTTACTCATTTTCTAGTGGAGAGGGGCAAGAAATGATGATTTGTATGATGATTTGTACTTTTCAGGTCACCAAAGACACTGCCAGTGCTTTCCAAACTGCATTTATTGAGGCTGTGGCTGCAATCTTGGCTGGATCATCTGCTGCAAAGGTGAGCTACACTCAGGATTATGTGTGTAAAAAGGCTGCAGTAGAATTGAGCTTCTTATTAACCTTCCCCCTGCTACCTAACCCTATAACCAGTACAAATTTAGTACCCAAAAGACTACTGTAGCAGGGAGATGATTAAAAATCCCACAAGATATAGGATGAAGTAAAATCTTAACATTTTTGCTTAGAGTTTGCTAAGAGTTTGGTTAGAGTCTTATACATGGCTTTTTTATGTCTTCACAGGAAACCTTTAAGGAGTTTATAGGGTATGATGAGCTACTGGAGCATCTAAGAAAGTTTGGCCAGCCCACAGAGAAGCTACTGCACCAGTTTCTTGGCATGGTGAGAGTTTTTTTTCCTTTTCTTGGTTCTGGTAAGGCCTAGGCAAAAAATGTTTCTGTTTTCAGTAACACAACGTCATAGAAAGTGTGAACTGGTGAATAATCATCGTGTTGTGGTCCGTTACTAGAATAACTGACCACTTGACCATACCATTTTGCATTAGCCTTTTTCTCACCAATGTTGTACTGTGTTTAGATGGTTGAAGGGGAGTTCAAACCTGGCACACCCCAGCACATACACAACACCAAGGCTGCTGCACTCCTCATCCAATGGGTGCCTGAGCTCCAGTCACATGACCTCCAAATATGGCTGACTGACAGTTTGAGGCAAGTCTGCTGCTCCAGTTTTGAGAACAAGGCCCACTGCTGCAGGTACTGATCTTTGTATTCCATTTTATTGTGCAGAAGGAAACATAATGTTTTTGCTCTGTTTCTACTCTGTTTCTGCTCTAGTCCACCAAACATGTAGGGTCATTGACCTGGACCAATTGGCTGTCTCCATGGTAACTGATGCTGTAGCAGACACCCTGTGGTGTTGGGTCAAATTATGTAGCAGGACAGAGCTGGTACTGGTATGATGAATGTTTAGAGTAAAAATAAACAGAGCAGTAGTTTCTTAGGCTAGACCATGTGAAGGTAAACAATGCGTTTGCTTTGCAACTGTTACCTTCTAGTTTTATCAGAATTTCAGAAGTAACCAGTGTGTTTTTCTAACTCTTTCAAACTTTGCAGAGATGGAGTCATTTCAGGGATACTGACTGTGTTAGCACAAGAAAGACGAGTTAACAAGGAGGCCATAAGTAAGTTTTAAACTCATGCACACACACACATATATGTGACATCTTTCCCATGGTCATACTTTAAAAAAAATCTTCTTGTACATATTCACATGTACATGAATTGTCCAATAAAATATCCTAAAACTGAGTAAATGTGTTCCCAGTGCACCTGTTGAAGTTACTGGAATGTCTGGGCAGTCATTCCATCGCACCCATGGAATTGAAACATCTCATCATGCTCATGAGGGACACTGTCAACGGGGAACAGGTTTGCAAACATACACAAAATCATTTAACAGTAGATGTAATTTGTTAGGCTTTGAGTTTTAAGAAGGGATTTGTAAGGTTGCTTTGAACCATTATAAGGTTGCAAGTCTGTTTTTTCTTGAAGACCAACTATACTTCCCATCAGTTTAAAATCCCCTAATTTCTTGTTTGCAGATGTCGTACACTCAAGAGGTAATCCAGGCAATGTGTACAATGGCGAGGAAGGAGACCAACAGAGAAGCTCTGCACTACTTTGACCTACAGCACAGGACAAGTGTAAGTGCCACATGGTGTAATGACATGGTCACTAATTCTTTGTGCCTTGAATTATTTTCAAGAACTGTCAAACCAACCTAGGCTTTGCTGAATGAAGAATTGTACCACCATTTTGTCATATTTGTCTGTCAGCATGCACGAAATGGCAAATGAAAAGTTACTATGAGACTTTTCTGTGTCAGCTAATCTAAGTTCTGTCACTACTCCAGAAGCTTGACAGTTTTGAACATGAACCATATTTCAGGGTATCACGGTTCCCTGCATCAACAAGTGGCCTGGTAGTGGGTTCTCCTTACATGCTTGGGTACGCATGGACAATCCTGATAACAGAGAAGGGATGGATCTGAGTGGGGGCAAGCAGAGGAGACAGTTGTACAGGTACTTCTCCCTTCCTTCCTTCCTTCCTTCCTTCCTTTCTATCCATCCATCCATGCTTAACACATGTCAAGATGTGTTTTGTTTATGTCTTAACAACCTTGAACTTTGACATATCACCAATGTGTAGAACAACTGTGAAATGACATATCCTGTCCCTTCCAGTTTCTGCACAGAGAACGGTACTGGATTTGAGGGTTTCTTCACCAACGAAGGCAGCCTGGTGATCGCTGTGTGCTACAAGAAGGACTATCTGACTGCACAAGTGGATAGGATCTACTTCACCGACTCCAATTGGGTAAAGACAAGAATGCTCATTGGTCAAATTGTTAATTGGCATTTTCTCATTGGTCTATTGGTTGCACACGTGGTGGATGCGCATAGGAAATGTCACAGATATTCAAATTAGATGACAAACATGGTATGCATTCTGGAATTTGGCTTGAACTTTTACGTGAAAGAAGAATTGAGCAACATCCTAAAATAAAGTGTACAAAACTTGGCATCATGCCTGAATTAGAAAGTTCAAGAAGCTTCTTCCAAAAACAACTTTTCGTTAAAATCATTCTTCTTCTTGTACAGCACTGTGTAGATGTGGTCCATGCAGGGTCTCGGCGACCTTTCACCCAGAGCCAGCTGTCTGTGTTTGTGGATGGACAGCTCAGGATCAACGCACAGCTCAAGTTCCCCTCCACTTCTGAGGTAATATTTTAATAAGTTAGATACACATTAAGCTTAGCATAGTTTACTTATCATACCCTTTAGACTAGATACCCATTCTGGGTTATCCTTTTTGATGTCGGGTTTTTTTATTGTACAAGCTCCCTCCATATGTAGATTCTTGGGCATGTTATGATATTCAAATTTTTGTCTTTCAGCCCTTCACTTGTTGCCGAATTGGCTCTTCCACCCAGCGGACCAACTCCCAGCAGAAACCCTTGAGCTCCAGCACAGCTCCTTCCCGGGGTCCCTCCCTCCCCTTCTCCTTCCCGGCATCCCTGGTGCCCTCCTCCCAATCCCAGAACCCCTCAGTGTCCAGTATAGAAGCAGGGAGCCAGGACAGTCTGTGGGGTTTCCCTACTTCCTTGCAGGGGCAGTTAGGGTCAGTGTGTGTGTTCTATGACGCTTTGCAACCATCACAAGTCAAAGGTCTCTTCATGGCAGGTGGGAATACACACTGTTTTGTTGTTGACCTATTTCTTTACATTTTGTAGCTGTCTAATTAATACACTTCCTTACGTATCCATGTATTATGTTACATATCCAGATACACATTCAAAAAATTGTTACTCAAGCAACTGGATAGATTTTTAAAACTGGATAGACGTTTCAAGTAGCATCCACTACGTTTTGACTCAGTCACTGATGAAAAGTAGTGGATGCTACTTGAAACGTCTGACAGTTTTCAAAATCTATCCATGTTGCAAGCTTGTAACAATTTCAGGTGTAATAAACTTCCTTCTACCAACTTGAAAGTAAGTGTATTATTTCAGACATAAACATTTAATGTAGACTGACTCCTGTGCATTATGAATCTTCATACTTTATTTTATTATGAAAAATGTTCCTGTCCCTTATAAATAGAAAAGGGGTAGATGTTAGGGTTAATGTTGCTGTTAATCTTATTTTGCAGGTCCAAACAATCTAGCGTTGTTTCATCATGAAGATGCAGACATAACTCAGCTGGCAGACAAACTAGTCCTGTACTATACAGCAAAGGCGTGTAAAGACTATGTTTGCATTGACCTGTCTGGAAATGGTCTGGATGGCAGACTAACTGGACACCAGTGTACCACATGGGACTTAAAGGTGGGGCTTTTCAACATCATTAAACATTATCTGACTAACCCCTGGCGTAAACAGGAAAACATTGGTGCATGGATGACCCCTTAGAACTAAGATAGAAAATTTGTAAAAGATTTTTGCATATCACACTTTATTACAATGGGCCAAATAGCAGCATTTCTTCTTCATTTCACAATAACTTGCAAGGAAAAGGTATTAAAAGACTAAAAGGAAACAAGTACTAGAAAGTCTACCATGGTTTATTTTCTGTAAATCAAGATAGAACTGGCTAAAAAGTTGCCATTCGATGTTTAATCTTATTGTATTGTTTTCCAATTTTTGTATCTATCATCAGGCTTCCATCAAGTGTATAGGAGGGATCCAGGTGCTGTTTCCAGTCTTGGAGCAGATTAAAGCAGCAGCCAATCAGCTGAGAGCAGTGTCTCATGAGCCAGCCAATGGGAGCACAGATGCTGTAGGTGTCACCATGGCAGATGCCCAGGATGTTGATGATTGGGTGATGGTACCACAAAAAGTCACCTCAGGTAAGTTGGTTTTATTGGTAAGTTAAATCATGCCCTTTTAAGAAGCAGACCTAATTTGAAGTATGTTGAATTCAAAGAGTAGTCTGTACATTTTTTTTAGCTCTGAGGTGGCAATTACCTTGGAAATCATGTTGCATTGATGTGACAGATGCCCAGTTGGAGCAGAACCCTGTGTCTGCATTCCTGACCCTGCTGAGACTGATGCTACATGGACAGTTGCATAACCAGGAGGAACTACTGCAGTCAGGAGGGGTGGCCACAGTCGGTGCACTGCTGCAAAAGGTAGGGGTACTGCATGGAAGACGTTTATTTCCTTGTGATCTGTATGTCCAGTGCAAATTCATGACGCCATGAATGTGTATAAATTTCCTTACAGTATAACAGAATTGTTTCATGTGTAAATTTAAAGAATTATGAAACCTCCATTTCCCTCCTACCAAAAAATATAACTGCTGCATATTCACAATTTACAGTACCACCATTCTCATAACGTAGAAATGCAGAATAAAATCATAAAAATGCAAATATCCATGATTTTCATGCAGCCACTCTCTCATTGGTTGAGCTGGTAATTGAAATGCTATCATTGGTTGAGCTGCTAATTGTGATTGACAGTATATTACCTTCTACTTCCAGTGTCTGACTGTTCCTTGCTTTCCTCCCTCCCCAGGTTAAACCAGAGCTGATAGATGTACATGTCCTAATGGCTATTCAGCTGTTTGTGGAGATGGTGGCTTCCTCCTACCCAGACCTACTACAGGCCTGCTACAAATACATTCTGTTTGAGTTCAGAATATGGAGCAGGAGTGAATTCCCTGTTAGAATAGGTAATATAAATCTCTACTACTGTCTTCATGTCAAAACTGTTGTGTTATGCCTGAAGGCAGCTTACCTGTTATGCAAAACGAAACAAAACAATGTGCAATATTAGTTTGAATATTATTGTGGAGTTTTGGGGTGTTTGTGTGTTTGCTGGTGTTTCTATAGTTATTTCCACGTGCTAGGCACATCAGGCTAGCAAGCTAGGTCAAAGATCCCAGAAAAGGTTATCGCATTTCCTATTTATGATGCAATGTAATAATATTCAATAATCGTGCAGCCACTGTCTCATTGGTGGAGTTGCTAATTGCCATTCTCTCATTGGTTGAACTGCTAACTGTGATGGACAGTCAGGATCAGTCTATTATCAGACAGTACTTCTTTGTTATTGCTGTAACTTGTCTTTTTCTCCTCAGGCCACATCCAATATCTGTCTACCATTATCAAGGACCAGAGGAAGTGGTTCAGGAAGAAATATGGAGTACGCTTCATGCTGGACATTTGCAGAACATTCTATGGGTAAATCAAAGGACTTCTTTTACATATTTCACTTTGTGGAAGAAACATTCTGTAACAGTTTTATTGTGGCTGGGGTTCTTGACTACAAGCACAAACATCATGAAATATGCTTGTTTGTGTTCCAATATCTCAACAGGAGCTCAGTGGAGGGTTTGACAGAGGATGATGTAAAAACCATCCGAGCCTCGCTCCTCGGGCTGGTGAAGTACTACGTGTCAAAGGGCATCAACCAGGAGGAGATGTCAGCCATCGTCAGTTACATCTGTGCACTGCATGACGAGTGTCAGGTGGGTAGGGGGCGCTGTTCTGAGTTTTGAGATGCAAAAGTGGTAAAAAGGGATGTTAAACAACTCATAACCCAAATAAATCAATGTTCATTGCAAGTATATATCTGTCCTTGGTGCTGAATCCTAGGTTATTGTTGGTTGGTGCTTTCCAAACACATACTTTATGAAATGAAAACACACAAACACACACACACACATATATATAGTGACTAAACCCTCCATCTCTACCCTACAACTTGCCACATAATGTAATACCAGTTACCATGGAGACAGATGTCTGGTTCGGGTCATTGACCTTTTTGTTTTAAGAAGAAGAAGAAACAGAGCAAAAGCAACATGTTTCCTTCTGTGAAGGTTAACATAACAAATGAAAATCTTTTTATGTTCCTCAGCTATGTGAGGTACTGGACATGCTAATCTCCCTGCTGGAGGGCCCAGGCAGGGACCAGCTGTACCTCCTGCTGTATGAACCCAAGGGAGCTGAGCTACTGTATGCCCTGCTGGTACAGGAACAGTACACAGACACGGTCAGGAAGAGAGTTTGTAAGGTGAGGACAACTACAGTACTTGTTAACCTTTAGCTCAATGAAGCAGCTGTGTGGATAGCAATTTTCTATTGGTTACAGGGTTAGGCAGCTGGGAGAAGGTTAAATGCTTTGGGATGTCAAGTTAGAGCACAGTAACTAAGTTACTAGTATATAGATTGGAAGATCAATGTGAAAACCTAGTCTAGTGGAAAATCTATGTATTGGTGTACACAGTTTCAGGGAATGAACGAGGACAGGTTTTCCTTTCTAGCCATCTGTTTTTGTTGTGTCATTGTGCTTAAGTTTCACATAAAAATGGGAAACACTGTAAGGTGAAGTGAGTGATTATATTTTATTTCTTCAGGTATTTTCTCAGCTGCTGAAGTTTGACAAAGTGTATGAGGCCAGTAAGCTCCGTCTGAGGCTGCTGAGACCGGATTACGAGGCATTTGCCGGGCTGACCATGTACATGAGAAATGTGGTGCTGTCCAGTGACGTGACAAGAAGTCTGTTGGATGTAGTGCTAGCAAATGGTAAGAAGTTGCACTTAAATTTCAAAATGCAAATTTTACTAGAATTCAAAGATTTCAGACATCTGCATTCAATCCTCGGCTTCCTGAATTCCCCCTTGCCGACCTCTAGCTCTTGCATGCTGCTCCTCACCAGATTCTTAAAAAAATGTTGTTCACCCCGTTTCCTGTTTCTGATCTTTTCACCTCCTGTCTTTCTTATATTGTAGAGTCTGTTGGTGGATACAACGCCATGCTGTCCATCTTCCAGCTGTTGCACAAGACAGATACAACCATCAAATTGGAGGCTGCAAGAGAGGTACTAGTTTATTTTTTATTTCTTTATTGGGATTTTCCACAAAGTGAAAGGGAAGGCAAAACAGGTGCATATGCACCTTTACAATAAAAGGTAAAAGGAAGTTTGCAGTTCAAACCATTCTGTAGCACAGTAGAAACAAATGAACAATCAAATTTTGCTCTTGTTTTGTCCACAGCTTCTCCAAGTGCTGTACACGAGAGCCAGTGCCCCTTCGATGTGTGCCAAGCAGATAGGTTGGCAAGAGACTCTTGTCAAATTTCTCATAAAAGACACCCTCGCTGACCCCACCCCACAAACACGTCCCCTAACCCTTGACCTCGACCCCTCATCCAAAACCTCCTCCGACTCCCCAACGAAAGAACTGGACTTCCTCCAACTTCCGGGGAACTCCAACGGAAACGGACTCCCCATAACTCCCACTGGGTCCCCCTGGAGGGAGGAAAGCTTCTTGCCAGAATCATTTCCGAGTTCCCCGCTACCTTCGCCTGTAGATGCATTCCCCTCGTCCATGAGTCACTTGTCTCTGAACGTATCTTCGACGAATTTATCATCAAGCACCAGTGGTATCAGTATATCCGACATGTCCAATGTGACGGGATATACCGCCACGGAGGACGATTCTAGCAACAACGGCACGGACAGACTCACCGACCAGTTTGACGATAGCGAAAACGCAAGCAGGTCTGAGAGTCAGTTTTCGTTGGACTTGTTGGAGTCGCCGAACGTGGAGGGCTGGTCGACCGGCGGGAATACGTCGTGCAATCAGAGTACGGCGAGTTTTGCGGACAGTGGTGTTACGTCGAGTGACACTAGCCAATGGACGATAGGCGTTCCTTCAAGTCCTAGTAGGGTTAGTGTGGCAGGTAGGTATTTGATGATTTTTTTTGTTTAATAAAAAATGCTTTACACTGTCAAATGTTCTAAATTTGCAAAAAAAGCTGAATGTTTGCAATGTACTCAAGTTAGATTTTGTGTTCCAAGGTTTTGTGGGCTGTGCGTGTTTACCCATGTACAAATACTAGTAGTGCCAACATATTTTTACATCTGACTTAGCACCAGGGCTTACAAAGTTTCTTGTGTCTTGCATATGTGTGAATAGTTCCAACTCAGTTGTTCTGACACAGTTTCTCATGTCTTGCAGACAGTGCCAACTCAGTTGTCCTGACAGAAGATGAGATGCAGGAGGAGTTGTGTGATGTTGTCCTGAATGCCATCTTCTCCATCCTGTGGAGAGGCATGGACGGATCGGACAACAAGGCTTGGAAGGTTGGACATGATCTTCAGTATATCTTTGCTTCTCACCAAGTGTACAGGGAAAAACTAATATAGTATATGCATGGCCATTTTTACTCCAGGGTGTGTGTGTTTTTACTTATAATTGAGTTGCACCACACAAATAAAATCTTTTGTTAATCTATCATTATTTTCTAACGTTTTGCTATCCAGGAGAAAGCCCAAGTGTTCACATGTCTGGACAAGTCTGCTGAGACCCATGAGTTAGTCCACCCTCCGTATGAACTGAAGAGACAACTACTGGAGCTGGGACTGCAGGCTTCTATATCAGACGTCAAGGAAGCTGGTAAGTCTAAATGAACATTATCAGTGCCTTACCAAATGGACCATTTGTCTCCTGAAATTGCTTGGTGATTCCTGCAGTTTTAGATTAGAATGTAGTCCCCCATGCCCACTGTACCCTTTGTTAGCCTTGTCCAGCTAGATATAGAGAGAGTTGATTGTCTCTGTAGTGTCTCCATCTTTGGTGTAATAAACATCACTTAAGTCTTCTGACAGGTTGTCAAGCAAAGTTAATCATTATAGCACCTTACTTCTTAATATTGCAATTGATGTTGGTGTTCCATGCATCCTTGGGGCATAGGTCATGCCTGGTGCATTCCATGCTTAGGAACAAATTTGTTCCGGATTGTACAGCTAATTGCTATGGTGTAGAGGTGGCAAGTTGGGCTAAGGTGGTCTTGTGGTTACGGTTTTTGGTGTGGTATTGAGTGACTTCCGTAGAATCTGAAGATTCTGGGTTCAAATCCCTGGCAATGTTTACCTTAGTCACTTTACACCTATTTTCTCACTGAACTGGAGTTAAAATGAGTACCTAGCCTCGGCTAGGGATGTCCTCCTGGTTTGGACGTAAAGCTGGAGGTCCTGTGTTTGAGGAGAGCCGTACCTCAAGTGTACCAAAATTCCTTTTTAGCAGGCTCAGGATCATGGTGGGGCCCAGGTCAGATGAGTCGTTCCAATACACGTCGCCTTAGAAAGAGGCTCTCGGGTAGGAAGATTTTTGCCTCCGTGGCATCTTACTGGTTCGGTGGTGGTGATGAGTGAAGGTTGAAATTTCTTGGTCCCAAGACAGGGTCACTAACCACTGGACTACTTGTATGCATGCTACGCAATGGTTATTAGGGTTGGGATCTAGATAGAATTGCTGCGGCTATGTTTTTTCCATCAACTCTGAGTTAGTTCCTCGTATATGTGGTGCAGGTGTTAGCTGCTTTCTTCTATTGTGCTCTTGTCAGTCTATATCTCAGTCAGTATGACTCTATTTGCTACTAGGCATTGTATTAGTTTTAGCATAGTCTAGTAGATGTGTTTTATTTTTCATATAAGTCTTATCCTTGTCTACATGGCAAGCCTATGAGGTAGGGTGGCACTGCCTGTGGTCAGATAGTGCCTTGTTGCATACTTAGTCTAGTATTAAGTGCTTTGTTCACTTGTTGTAATACATGTACATGTACATGTACCATACCATGATACTGTAGACTGATTAAGTACATGTGCATTTAGTATGCAATGGCCTACTGCTTTAAAAATCCTGCATCTTGAATCTAAGGTTTGAATCCTGGCCTATTTACTGTGAATTTTTAAACTTCCACTTTGGTTGTATTTTGCAGTTTTGCATGTATAATACATACTTTTTCCTACCTACAGGACCTGCCAGCTATTCCTACCTAGAGAACGCCATGGAGCTGATGAAGCTGGTTCAGGACTTCCTCATCAACCACAGTGAGAAGGGGGCAGACGCATGGAGTGAGAAGGTGGGTGGGCAAGGAATGAATGAATGAATGAATAAAGGAAGATTCTCGTTCAGCAATATTGTCTTCTTTTGATTTAATAGATATTGTTATGATACAGTATTTCTTTACTGAAATGAATGTAATAATGGTCCCAAAGTGGGCATCATATGTTTCCCTTTCCCTATCAATGTCGTTCTTTATGTATTGGTAAGGGAGTTTAGACTTCCTCAGCTTCCTGCCCCATGTGACCACCAATATTCCTGCTAGAATCCTTCCCATTCAACCTGTTTCCTCTGTCTGACCTTTTGATCCTCTACCACTCTGCCTGTCAATCTTCCTCCCTTGCGCATCCTACTCTGTCTGTGGAACTGTTTTCCCAGACTCCCAAACTCACAGCTCAACCACTTAAAACAAGACTTCCATACCTAGAAGTTACTAACTGTGTGTCTGTTCCAGATGGTAGAAGGAGTGATGGGTCTGTTGGACACCCTGGCTGTGTGGGAGCCCATCCCTGGGGACAGTGAGTGGGAAGACATGGCACAGATCGGCATCAGGCTTCTGCTGGGGTTTGCAGGGCAAGACAATAACGACGTATGTTCTTAATGTTGTAGATTTGCTACTCCCGCAGTTATAAAACAGCTGCTAGGGGGACCAAACCTATCCTGCTTTTTTACCAGACCAAGAGCTACACATATCTACCATTTAAAAAATTATGGACATGTCCTCAATATGAGATCAGACTTTTTGCTGCAGTACAAAAGAATGTAGCTACTGCAGCAGCAGAATACAGTGGACTACTACAAAAGAAAGCTGTTAGGCGGTCCATAATCGAACTTGACCTTCCTTTTGCCCACACCTGCCTACTTACCAAATATCATTCAACTCCTCAAGTAATTCTGTGTATGAACACACCTACACAAACAGTCATACAAAAGTAACCGGAAACATACCAACCTTTTTGGCAAAGGTAATAACGTATAACAACACATATATGTATACAAGCTAAATACTGGATGAAAGATGTTGAACCTTGTTTGAACGTGACTTGTCTTGTTATAGGTCTGTGCCACAGCCTCAGCCAAGCTGCACACACTGCTACATTCCCGCCCTCTGCACTCCACTGAGGAAGCCTGCTACATCCTGGGCTCTCTGGACCAGGCCATGATCAAGTCTATAGAAAGTGAGCCTTACACTCTTTTACAGGGTTTCCTCGTTCATAGAAGTGGACTACTCTTTGATCCTTTGTTTCTGACATATTCAGAACTATTGTCCAAGTCGCCATTATGCATTTGCTTTGCAAATGTTGTCTTTCTAGATGTTTATTTTTGTGATGACCTCTTCACCATGAAGTACTATAGAATTTTTTCAACCATGAACTTGAAACACAGATTACCAGACTGAGTAACATTTCCCCACCCCTGCCCCCCTCCCACAGACCACAGTGATGCGTACTCGTTCCTGATCCCGCTGGTGCGCGCCCTGCTGGACAAGTGTTACCAGGAGCTGGGCATGCAGCAGTACCTCCCACACCTCCCCGCCAGGGAGAACAGCCCCAGCTTCTTCGAGGACTTCCAGCAATATTCTCAGTCTAAGGAGTGGAGGAGCTTCATAGGAAAACAGGTACACCTGGAACAGGCTCTAGCCAGCCTGTTTTTCTGTGCATTACAGGAACTTTGTGGCATCTGACAGAAAAATTTCTAGACCAATCTGTCAACGTACAGACAGACAATAGTGACAAAAATCTTGGGTAAAAACATAAAAACGTCCAAAGGACCACCAACAATCACTTTCAGCCCCATGATTTGCCTCTCAAAATGTGGGAAATTGCATTTTTGAAGGCTTGAAAATCCAAAATTTGTCCCTAACCCCCCCCCCATAGTTTGCTAGAACTGTCCCCCAGTTTCGATTATGAACCTGGGCTGACTTGGAGAGATTGAAAATGAAACCTACAGTTAAACTTGAACTCATAAAAGGAAAAGGGAAAAAAGAATGGTTTAGGGTGTTTTGCCATTGAAAGACATTTAGTTGAAATGCTGTGTTGCTCTTGGAATTGTTCCGTAGGTGTTACCCAGAATGCAGCAGTACGAGGTGGACCACTACGGTGCCTTCGGAGCGAAGATGTTCCACTTCTGGAAGGCGTGTCACGATGGGATGATGATGAACATCCACAACAGGGACAGGGAGAGGGGAGAGAGCAAGCTCAGGTTTGAGGTGGGCCAACAGTCATTCATGTCAGGAGTATCGTATCCAGAACCATGCATATCTACTGCTATGTATGCCCGAATGGGTTAGGGTTAGGGATTATGCTCAAGCATGGTTCTTGATAATTTTTCATGTTTCATAGATTTGCTCCAGGCATGGTTCTGGATATGCCTGGACTATCCAGAACTATCTGCATCACTCTTCAAGCACTCAAAGGGATAACTTCAAGCTGCAGTTTCTTTGACTAATGCTAGGAACATGCAAAGATTTTGCTGCCTGTAATACAATGAATTGTTTTGGTTCCTTACAGAGACAAATCGTAGATGTGTACAACAGGAAGGCAGCAGAGGAACATGCCAGATACAGGGTTGTACTGAAGCGCCTCAGAAACCAACACTCTGCTGCTCTCGCCCAATGGAGAGCCAATAAGAGATTCTTTACAGGGGAACGTGGCCCTTGGACTGACAGGTTTGAGCTTTTCTGTATGTCAAACAGTCTTAAAGTCTGAAGCCCTTGCTCTGTGCAACAGTCTTGAATCTGAGTCAACCAATCAGCTGCTTTGCAATACAATCAATCAGCACCAGCTTGTTCTCAGCCAATCAGAAGCAGCTTGTCCTCAACCAATCAGCAGCTCTGGTCCTCAACCAATCAGCCGCTCTGGTCCTTATCCAATCAGCTGCTCTGATCCTTCACAATTCAGCAGCTATTTTCCTGCTCCAATCAGCAGGCCTTTCCTTCAACCATTAGCTGCTCAGCTCATCCAATCAGCAGCTCCGTTCCATAACCATTCAGCCCACTAATTCTGAACAGAATTAAAAGATTAATAAAATCACAAGTCAGAATGTTTTATTTTTGTCACTCACAGTTTGAAAAGATATTTACCATTTGGGTTACATTTCATGTGCTTTTCCTGAAGTTAAAAACTCAACTTTTACCCCAAAATCTGCCCATCATCAGACCACCCCTGGACCCTGCAGCTGACAAAAGGAGAGGTTCTAAACTGGGCTGGTGAGTAAAATAGAAACAGGACAAAAGCAGAACAAGTTGGAAAAATGTTTTGCTTTCCCTTGTATTTCATTGAGGGCAATGTTCCTTTCCAGAAGTTGGTTTGTACTGTTCATGATCACTAAAACTTGTAAAAGGACATATTAAAGATTTTTAATCTAACAATACTGACAATACATATGAAATTGTACATGGTATGCATCATATTTACTGTTACCAATGTGTTTTAGAGGATAACGTCTCACAGGAACCTGTTTTTCTTAACAGTTGGTAGATGTTGAAAATTGTCTTAGAACAACTGCTGTTGAGGTTCCAGAAATACAAAGCCATTCATAATAATACTGTAAATTGGTTGGTGTTCCATGTCACATTGTACATCATTTGTACATGTCTTAGACTTTGGCCATGCCTTGTTGTTTAGCCTCTAACTCTTTAGAGAAACAGCCATCTTTACCACATTTTACTCTGTGTCAAGTCAAAGCCATTAAAGGTAACATTTAACAAAATATCATGTTTTCCCAAGGAAACAATAGCTGAACACTTAATAGATCTAATAGCCATGGATGTGTATTTACACAGGAACCCAAACACCATGCATTGGAAGCTGTGTCCTCTGGAGAACTTCTCCCGAATGCGGCCCAAACTCATGCCAAACTACAACTTTGACTGTCACACTGAAGCCAGCATGCTCAGAGATAACCAAGGTAAGTCTTTTGAGGCTAAGGTCTTTTCATGGTAAGTGCAGTGGGATCTTTAACATGCTTGAGGTATGACTGTCCTCAAATGGACCACCAAAGTGGGACCACCAGCTTTACATCTCTCAAAGCTAGCTTAAGTGAAAAAATTGTATATAGGCCTGGGGTAAAATGCCTTTCACAAGGGCACAACATTAGGGGCCTGCTAGGGATTTGAACCCAGAACCTTCTAGATTTTATGTTAGCAAGCCTTAGCATACAATGTTCTCAGTTTGGATAGCTTTCCTATGAAAAATCAACCCTTTCTTCTGTCCATGTCTCTAGGTCTGTCAGTGTCCAGCCCAGGGAAGGACCCTCTACTGGCCGTGACTAAAGAGGCTCTGGTCCAGATCATGGAGGAGGACAAGCTGGGAGACGATGACTGGAACGAACTCAGCACTAACATGTCAGTTGGGAAGTTCTGATTGGTCCTTTTGGACAACTGAGTTACAGTTTCTGTGTTATGATTGGTCCTTTTGGACAACTGAGTTACAGTTTCTGTTTTGTGATTGGTCCTTTTGGACAACTGAGTTACAGTTCCTGTGTTATGATTGGTCCTTTTGGACAACTGAGTTACAGTTTCTGCATGTGTTGTGATTGGTCCTTTTGGACAACTGAGTTACAGTTTCTATCTTGTGATTGCTTCTTTTGGACAACTGAGTCACAGTCATATCCATAGCCATGTACATGTATAGATGACTAAGTCTTCTTAAAATCAAGTTGGCAAAACATCTTGTGTTTTCTTTTGTCTAGAACCCAGCCCAGTGAGGCCTCTCAGAAGGAGAAGCAGAAACTACAGGCAGAGTGCAGCCTGGTGACCATCATGAATGTTCTGGAGGGGAGACTAGAGATCACCAACTCACATGTTTACTTCTATGACTGCAGCCCCAACAAGGAGGAAGGTAGCACATGGGCTTCATTTTTTAGATGTTGAAGTCTTGATTTCATTTAGCATTGTGTATAAGAAAAATCTAATAAACATTTAGCAACTCTGACCATTCTGTTTCAATTTCAATTTATTGGAATTGCATGAAATTATGATCCTAGATGGGAATAGAAACCAGAACCCTTGGTTTCCTTCTGTTCCTAGGATTAGGACAGGACTTTAAGTGGTCGGTGTCTCAGCTCCGAGAAGTGCATCTGAGGAGATACAACCTGAGGAGGTCAGCTATCGAGCTGTTCCTAGTGGACCAAACCAACTACTTCTTAAACTTTGTAGACAACAAGGTTTGTATGTCTCTGTTTGTCTTCATATTGATGCTATCAATTGCTAGAGATACAAAACTGCAATGCATGTTTGTTTCACATAACTAGCAGTCCACCTTAAGCTTTACACATCAGTTTTGTATAGTAAGCTGTGTAAGACCTGAATCTAAGGCTTGAACCACTCACACCAAGAAGGTCCTTTACTCTTTTTGATAAGTTTGGTAGGATCTTTCATGTTCTCAAAGTGTGGTTCTCCTCAAGGCTTTACATCCCATCCAAGAGGATTTCTCTAACCAAAGCTTGGTACTACTTACATGTACATGTATTTCGAGTTGAGTGAGTAGGTGCTTTAATCATTGCTACAACCAAACAAACATTGACTTGCTATGTTTCTAGCTGCGGAACAAAGTGTACAGCCGTATCCTGAGTTTACGTCCTCCCAACCTGCGGTACTACGGCTCCAGATCACCTGCAGACCTGCTGAGAGCCTCCGGACTGGTGCAGGTAAAACTGTTAACGAGTTACTGTAAACTGTCAAACATTTGCATGTGTTTCATGTGTGCAGTTTTTGCAGTGAGGTCTCATCTTGTCTGTTTCAATCTGTGACAATCAAGTCTCCACAAATGTAAAATGATTTACAGTACAAATTTATCTAGGTTCCTGAGAACCAAATTGAACCATTTCTCCACGTATCTTTGCCTCAAAAAGTCAAAAGATTTTGTTGTACTCAGAGATTTTGGCAAAGCCTCAGGAGCGGAGCCGGATGATGGTTTATATTTGGTTCCTTTTTTACAGAAATGGGTTCAGCGGGAGATGTCCAACTTTGACTACCTGATGCAGCTGAACACCATCGCAGGCCGCACGTACAATGACTTGAGCCAGTATCCCGTGTTTCCCTGGGTCCTGTGTGACTACACCTGTGAAACCCTCGACTTTGACGACCCCAAGGTCTTCCGCGACCTTTCCAAGCCCATCGGGGTCATCAACCCGAAGAATGAGAGAGAGGTGCGGGAGAAGTATGAGAATTTTGAGGACCCGTCGGGCACCATCGCGAAGTTTCACTACGGAACGCACTACTCTAACGCTGCAGGGGTGATGCATTATTTACTGAGAATGGAGCCCTTCACTACACTACATATCCAGCTACAGAGTGGAAGGTGAGCTTTAGTATTTACTGTAAAAAGCATTGAATTCCTCATTACTTGACAAAGACTGGAGCTTAACAGTTGAAAATTTGAAATTGGGTAAGTCATATCTCATTTTTGTATGATTGTTAAAATAGTTTTGAACTTGAAACATCTGACAGTTTTCAAAACCTATCCAGTTGCTTGAGCAACAATTTCCTTGTACAGTTTGAATATGTTTCAGTCTAAGCATCACACATTAAGCAAATTCCAAAGCTTGAAAAGAACTGCTATCCCCCCAGGTTTGACTGTGCTGACAGACAGTTCCACTCCATCCCCTCCACCTGGCAGTCATTAATGGACAGTCCCAATGACGTCAAGGAGGTCATTCCTGAGTTCTTCTACCTTCCAGAGTTCCTGGAAAACAGCAATGGTTCGTGGTCCAAAATTTTTTACATACAACCAAGTCTTTCTTTACAGTCCCAGAGCAGTAGTGCAGAAAACCTTGTGTTAGAATACAGAAAGGCAAAATAATTTGCAATTTTATGTGTGTTTTTTTGCCTTTCTACCTTTTTTGACAGTGGTGTATGGGGCTGTAGGATTAACACAAGTGATGACTGACAAATGACTGAGGAATAGGGTTTAGGAAAGATTCTTAATGTACATCTGTTGTTTCTTTCACCCTAGGGTTTAATCTAGGGAAACTGCAGGGATGTAAGACAGCAGTAAACAACGTTCTCCTCCCCAAGTGGGCCGACTCTCCTGAAGACTTCATCATCAAGCACAGGAAGGCACTGGTCAGTCCAACATTGAGTAGGAATCAATATGTTGAATTTGAAACTTGATAATTAAGGTACATAAAGTTTGTGGTTTGAAGTGTGCATGTGCAATGTGATGCGTTGTTGGTAATGTGTCAAAAGTTTAAGGTCCCCTTCCATTCTTGGTGAGGTTATCATAATTGACCTCCCAATTATGTTGAGTTTTTCTTTCTAGATTAGATTCCTTAGCCTCTCCCTTGTCTTTTTTCATATTTGCTGAGAAAAGTCTGTTCCTACATCATGTACTTGCAGGAGTCGGAGCATGTGTCTGCCCACCTCCATGAGTGGATTGACCTGATCTTTGGGTACAAACAGAAGGGACCAGCTGCAGAGGAGGCTCTGAATGTGTTCTACTACTGCACATACGAAGGTAAGTCATTAGTGATTGTTACTGATCCACAGTAACACAGTAAATCTTTAAAGAATAACTGAGACCTGGTACATGTATATAGTGATCAGCCCATCCAGCTCTGTCTTGCTACATAATGTAACCCAACACCACAGGGCTACAGCACCAGTTACCACGGTGACAGGTGTCTGGTTAAATGACACAAAATCAACTTTGGGTCATGAAATCATATTTGACTCCACTGATCATCAGAGCTTATAGAGTTTAGAAAAATCTACCGTAGTAAAGGCAGAATGTACCTAAGGTTTGTGCCGACTTTTATAGAGTTTTGTGATCAATTTTCCAGGAGCTGTAGACTTAGATGCCATCACCAACCCTACAGAGAGGGCAGCTGTGGAGGGCATGATCAACAACTTTGGACAAACACCATGTCAGCTATTGAAGGTGGGTGGGCTGTTTCAAACAACAAGAGGGTGGATTTGGCTACCACAGATTGACCTTTAGGTTAAGTTGGAAGGAAGTGATGGCTGGCAGTCTGGAAGGAAGTGATGGCTCCATCCACTAAATTAACCGTGTTTGCTTGTCACAACAAGTTTTCAGTCCTACTATAGTATAGATATAGTCCTGTCTTCTTGTATAGATTTGCTGAAAGACACAACTGATTGAAGACTTAAGTTTCAAATGAATGAATGTTCTTTCATCCACTTAAGGAACCCCATCCCAGGAGGATGACATTTCAGGAAGCTGAGAAGCACAAAGCCTCCAAGTCTCAACACCTGACACTTAACGTCTTCGACTACCTCTCACAACTCAAGGCATTCTTTGTGGAGGTAAGACACAAGATACAATAACTTCATTAAAGATTGTGGCATTGCCCCTGAATTTAAAATCCAAAGTACAATGATTGACAGTTGATGAAAACATTCATGAAAGAGATATTTTTCAGTGTTGATTAGATGTTGTGTTAGTCGGCACAATATAGGTAGCATATCATTAAAATTATAGTAATCATTCATGGTTTTATTTTCATGTAGGAGGGAAAAGGTGGTTTGAACAGACTGTGTTTTTTAAATTCACAGTTGAAACAATTCTGATGGACTGGTATGGATTTATTAAGTATCATGCATCAAGACAGATGAAAATATAATATGATGATGCGTCATTGATTGTTGTTGTTTACTCCCAAATCAGGTATCCAATGACAACGACCCCCTTGTACACATCTCGGTCCCCAGAAGTCAGGCCAGGTCCTTTATACACCACGGCATGCCAGACGCCATGGTAAGTCACATACATTCCTTTTTGGCGACACCTTAGGAGCGGAGGCATTTTCTCTCTGTTCACAACTTTAATGGAAATGTTAGAAACAAGAAACAAACTCTTTTTATTGTGCTTTTCAAGGCTAGGATTATTTTATCTTTGCTGTAATTTCTTTATAGATGCAAGTTTGCTTTTCACTGTACACATAGCTTTCTGTCTATTCCTATTTCTGATGCTGTATGATAAAGGTTTATTGTGTGGATATAAGTTCTGAAACTTTTTTTGCCTTCTGATGGTGCCTGTAGGGGTTTGTGTATGAAGGCCTGTCAGAAGATATGGTAAGAACGTCTTCTGTAGAAACAGGCACAACTTAAAAGCATGTTTCCAGTCCTGTTTCTTCCTGTTATAGTTTTCACATGCAGTTCATGTACTGACTTGAATGTCTACATGTATGTGATTGAAATTTGTTGCAATTTGTTGTTGACTAAACTGACAAAATTAGTCCGTGTCTGCCAGTTTTTGTTTGAAGTCTGCCAATTTCATGTTGTTCCATCCTCTTCTAGCCTGAGTGGTCTGATAGCTAGCTTATATAATTGTCACAGACTGTTTTTTTTTTTGTACTGTCACAACTAACATCTTGTCTGCCATTTTTTTCATCCATGATTTGAATACCAATACATGTGTATAATGGTAGTTTGCGTTGCCTGCTATTCAAAATCATAGTCTATAATAAATAAATATAATTGTTTAGTAACTACATGTTTTTTTTCAAACGAATGTGCTGTAATATTTTCTTTTCTTTAGGTGACCATTTCAGAACGAGGAGTTGTTGGTATCCATGGCTGGCTGCCTTACGACAAAAACATCTCCAACTACTTCACGTTTGAAAAGGACCCAACGATTTCTCACAGGTGTGAAGAATTAGGAATACTTAATGTCAAAGTAACACCAATAGTCCTGTCTATCACAGTTCAACCAATGAGAGAAAAGCAATTAGTGGTTTGACCAATGAGAGAGTGACTGCATGTCTGTGAAGTATTTGCTTTTGTCTGTTTTTTTGCATTTTGTATGTTATGACAGGGGTCTCAGTTATGAGATTGGTTGAATTTTTGATAATTTTTATGTCAGAGTTTAGTATAGAATGGACTCTATATATTGTTTGTTTTGCAGTAATTGTTTTGGAATCTCTTCAAATTTTTGTATTCATTACAGAAGTAGAAGATGCACAGCAGGACCTTTCTCACCGGGCCACCCTATAACCTCTGACCTCTTCGTGGTATCCCATGATGCCAAGCTGCTGTTCAGTGGAGGACACTGGGACAACAGTCTGAGGGTCATGACCTTGGCCAAGAGCAAGTTCACAGCCAGAGTCACCAGACATAACGGTGGGTGATTCCCTCTTTGAATGATTTTGACTGGGCTTAAAATTCACAAACTTCAGTTTATGGGAATGGCATAAAAACCTTCAAGTTGTTGTTTGGGGGTCTGTAAGACGATTCTAAAGATTGGACAAGATTTTATCACTCTCGTTCAATGCAGGTTTTTCTCCCATATGAATTTTACTGAAAAATTTATGCAAACCAGACCTATATTTTATATTTTCCCCATTGTTGGCATGCTTTATACCTGAATGCAGATTCTACTCTTAGACTATTATCATGACATAAAGTTTAAAAAAAAACTTTTTGTTGGAATAGTTGCTGTTGTAAGTCAGACTATAGTATATGGGTTTCTTGTTGGGAGAATGTTTTATGATTTTTATTGGATTTGTTTCGTCAGATATTGTGACATGCCTGGCCCTGGACAACTGTGGAAACCACCTGATCTCCGGTTCCAGGGACACCACATGTATGATATGGCAGATTATGCACCAGGTAAGGCAAAAAGGTTACACTGATATCAATATGTATAGCTAGTAATTTTGTAAGATACTATGAATGTTACTCGCTACTTTTTATAAAATCTTACATGTACTCAAGTGTCAGCTGTAACTTAAAACTTACATGCTGAGCAACTGCATTGCAACTAAAATCAGATTTGTGTAACCCTTGAATTCATAATTTCATGTAGTATATAGTAGAAATTAGTAAAAATACCTTACACAAGATTTTGATCTAAAGTATGGTCTTCATTGCCCCAGAATAAGATAAACCAACAGAGTCTGGCAGGGAAATCTGTCAAAGGTGGAGCCATGAAAGTGAGTTGGCAGCCATGTTGGTGTAGGTCTGAATTTAGGGAGAACAAGGTGGATTAGCATTGCCATGGCAACAAAGCTTAGATTAGGCTTAGTCTTGTACATGTGCAAGCTTGGAGAGCTACTGCCATATTTACATAAGATACAGGCTGTAGGCTGGACGTTAGTTAAGGTAGGCAGACAACTTTTGGGTAGTTGGCTACTGTAAAGGTGTTCTTGAAATAAGGTGCTACATGTATAAGGCTATAATCTTATCTCAATTTTTTTTCTTCCATGTTCAGAAAATACAGAAAAAAATACAAAAAATTATTCACCTTATTTCCTATGTCTGGCCTTTTGACCTCTCACTTTGTCAATCTTCCTCACCCATGTGCTGTCAACCAACACTCAATTTCACCCTTATATTCAGTGTCTGGCCTTTTTACTTCCTGTTAGTCTTCTCCCTACCCATGTGCTGTGAACAGTCCAGACAAACAGACTCACAAACCCACAGCTCAGCCAAACAAAATAAAACCCCAGAAGCAATGAAGAACAGGTGGTTTGAGTGACACTTTTTTTGCCCCCACAGAATGGAGTGTCGCAGGGTATATCCGGGAAGCCCCTCCATGTGCTGTACGGCCATGATGATGAGGTGACAGCTGTTGGGATCACTATAGAACTGGACATGGCTGTGTCAGCTTCTAAGGTACAGTTCAACATGTGGCTTAAAACACACAGGAAGTGTCACAATTACCAAAGCGCGACTGAAAGCGCTCCGATCATAACTGGAAAGGTTTCAATATACAATGTCATGTAGCTGAGAAGTTTGTTGTACAGTTGAAAATTTGGGTAAGTCCAATTTTTTGTGTTGAAAATTACAGTTTAAGCCTCCTATACAATGACATCTACCAACACAGATGACTTTCAAGATAAGATTGCAGTAACATATTATGTGTTTGCTTCCCCAGGATGGCACCTGTAACATGTACACAGTTAGGAAGGGGCACTACATGCGGACCCTGCGCCCCCCCTGTACCCACCCCTCCAGACTCACCCTGCCCAGACTCGCCCTGTCTGAGGAGGGCCACATCGTCCTGTACGCCAAGGAACAGCTGGGCAGGGTCACCAATGAGGTAAGGGGCATGTCTATCACAATTAGCAGTTCAACCAATGAGAGAATAGCAGTTAGCATTTTGACCAATGAGATTGTGACTGCATATTGGGCAGGGTGACCAATTTCAAGTAGGTAAGGGGGATGTCCTGACCGTCTATCATAATTAGCAGTTCAACCAATTATAGACAAGTAATGAGTGGTTCAACCAATGAAAGCTTAGCAATTACTGGTTCAATCATTGAGAGAGTGGCTGCATACTGGGCAGGATCACCAATGAGGTAAGGGGAATATCCTGACTGTCTGTCATAATTAGCAGTTCAACCAATGAGAGACTGGCAATTTAGTGGTTCAACCAATGAAAGTGGCTCCATACAAGGCAGGGTCAACTGAATAGATTGATCCTGATGGCCCATCAAAATTAGCACTTCAACCAATAAGAGAAGAGCACTTAGCAATTAGCATGTTGTCCAATGAGAGAATATCTATATCAAGTATTAGCATTCTTCTGAATCTTGGTGTTTAACAGTATTTCTATCCCTGTTTTCCTGTATTTCCCAGAGCACCCATTCCATGCACCTGTACTCCATCAACGGGAAGTTACTGTCTTCTGAGAGTCTGTCAGACCCTCTGGTAGACATGGCCACCTCCATGGACTATGTGGTGACAGGGGACCAGAAAGGAGTACTCACTGTTAGAGAGATGTCCAGGTAATATCAGTGATTCAGGCACTTGGTTAAAGAACCTTGATACATTTTTGTGTGAAATGGAAGGTATTGTGTGTCTGTTTGCCTGCCAGTGTGTGTCTGCATTGTGTATTTTTCACATGCTGGTCACATTTACTGTAATGACAGAAAGTAAAGGTACATGTAAGAGGTGCTGGAATTAGTAATTTATTAACCTTGTATGACACCTGAAAGACATTTCATGTCAATGAAACCCATTCTAGTAGGGGTGACTATTTTTTAGCAGTATATGACTTGACTTTGAATTATGTTCAGCATAGTAACAGAAAGTGATCATTAGACATGAAATGTTATTCAAAACCGTATTTGCATATTAGTGAACTATAGAAAACTGTAAACATTGATAGATGAGGTATGTAGGTACATGTTTCATGTAGCATGACAAACGTGTAATGCTCCCCCTTGTTACCAGCCTGAGGAAGTTGACCAGCATGCCCCTGCACAAGCAGATCTCCTGCATCTTCATCACCCCCGGCAACAGCCACATCATGGCGGGGCTGGAGGACGGCAAGCTCATCATCATCGGCGTGGCACGGCCGGCCGAGGTCCGACAAACCGCGGGGATTCTCAAGAGCATGATCCAAACCCCATCCAGTATCAAAATGTCATAATTGTGAATTTGGAACCCAAATTTTAACCCTTACACTACCACAATCCATTTACATTATATAAAGCCTAGCAAATTTTTGAGGGTTAACAAATGTAAAAGAAAGAGATACTCAAAAGTATGATCCAAACTCCTGCCAGTATCAAAATGTCCTACTAGTGATTTTGGAACCCGAATTTTAACCCTTACACTACCACAATCCATTTACATTGTATAAAGCCTAGCAAATTTTTGAGGGTTAACAAATGTAAAAGAAAGAGATACCTAAAAGCATGATCCAAACTCCTGCCATTTTCAAAATGTCATAATTGTGAATTTCGAACTCAAATTTTAAGCCCTTCACTGCCACAATCCATTTGCATGACATTGTAGAAAGCCTAGGGACTTTTTAGTAAAGTAAAAGAATGGGATACTGAAAAGTATGGCCCAAACTCCAGCCAGTATCAAAATGTCCTAACAGTGAATTTGGAATCCGAATTTTAAGCCATACACTACGACAATCCATTTATAAATCCTACATGTACTTCCCTAACCACCTGTTGCTTTTCAAGGGTTAACAGAAGTAAAGGGATACTGAAAAGCATGATCCAAACTCTATCCATCAAAATGTATTGCAATGAAGTTACAACTAGAGCCAGTTTCCAAAACCTTAACCCTTCCACTACCACAATCCATTTATAAAGTCTAGCTAGTTCCCTAAACAGCTGTGGGTGGGGAGGGGGGTCTTTGGGAGGGGTTAAGGGAAGTAACGAACAAAACAGTACTGCAGTTTTGTCAGGGTTTTCCCCTTAACCCAGCTGCCTAACCCTGTAACTGATTGGTAGTCAAATGGCTACCTCAGTATGCTAAAGGTTATTGACATCCTTATTGACAACATTTACATCTGTGTATAGACTTAACCATTAGCTTGCCAAGGGTGCCCTGATGTACCAAATTGGTGACGATGCATTGTAGATTGAAATGTGTATGCCCAAAGGCAAAAAAAATCATTCAGGACTTAAGCTATTAGCATGACTTTGCAATGGAAATTTGTTCATACAACACTAGCTTTTCCTAAATGAATGTAGGGAGAGCTTTTCTAGTGAAATCCTACATTTGGTGCCATGAGGTGGAATATTTGCTCTTAATTTTGCCTTTCTAATTTGAAGGAAAAGTTCTGAAAGTGGAACTTAAAACAATGTATATAAAGTTATAATTTATAGAAAAAGCAATTGTGTGAAACCTTGAATACCGTAATGACAATCACGTGTAAAAAGTTTTATCTAAAATTTAAGGTGAAAGCTTTAGATAGCAAAAAAATGTTGAAGAAATAATTTGAAAACATTAAATGGAAATACATGTACATGTACAGTAGCTAGGCACTCCGTATATAAGTCTAATAATACAAAGCAAAAGTAAACGGAAGATAATAGTTTATTAATTGCTGCTTTGCTAGAAGGATGTACTTACTGTAAAAAGAGTATTTGTTACCTGAAGAATTATCTTAACAGTCAAAAACAATTCTTACACAGTAACTTTTGACTTTGAGTTTTCTTCGGCATCTAAGAATTTTATTAAAAAAGGAAGTAAAAATAATTGGGGCGACAATCACATTTGACAGAAAATTCTTCACCCATATTTAGATGCAATGTGCAATTATCATAATATAGTGCATAATATGTTCACCATGGCAGTGTTGTGAAATAAGCCACACGATCATAATGATATAACCTAAGATATTCTGGGCTAAATTTCTGGCCATTGTTTACAATAATTTGTATACACAAAGCTAAGAGATTTAGATAGGATGTACAGTGTTTGGCATATAATTTTGGCAGATGTATAAGTTGAATTTTGCCTTCTTGCCTTAAAAGTTTATAATCACAGACACGTATGTTTAACTAAAGTTAGGAAAAAATCATACCTAAAAATCCTTTTGATGTTTAGAATTTATAAAGGTGACAGTCTTTGCAATTCCTTCCAGGATGGTAGAAAAACTATCTTAAAAATTTTGGTATTATGTCAGTTGTGACCTGGCCATGACAGATTAAGTAAGCAAAATCAATTCAAAAGAATTCTACATAGTGTAATAATGAGCACCTGTGTATACATCACTATTCATGCAGTAAAAGTATTAGCATGAGTAAGCTGGGTTTGTTTTCTTCCACACTTTGTCTTTTCATGTTGATTACAGTATGTTCTATCCAGCGATTTAAGTAGGTTGCACCTGCCCAGCCATATATACAATATGTAAGAATGAGATTTCAGGTCCCTGTCAGGTCTTCCTTGTAATCTACAGTTTTTAGGAAAGCCGCTAGGGGATTGTGCTATCCTGCAATTCTTTTTAAGCACAGGCTTTAGATAAAATTTGACTGCATCTTTCAACCTACAACTTAATCATCAGAGTCTTTAATCTTCTAGTCATCTTATTCACAAAAAAGGCTTTGTTGACATAGCCTATTTTGTGAAAGATTGTCTTTAAAACTTCTTCAGTGCTTTTTCCTTCTCGGTGGGTGGGATGCCCCTCCTTTCCATGGCCTCCTCCAGCCTTGAGGAGGCTTCGGCTTGCCCGTTGAAATATGCCACGCGTAGAGGAGTGTTGCCTTCGCTGTCTTCTGCCCGTAGGTCAGCCTGGCCATCAATGAGGACGTTGATGACGTCGACGTGGCCATACATAGCCGCCAGATGAAGAGCGGTTAAGCCGTGTGCGTTGCCGTCGTTGATCCATGCATGCTTTTGCAGTAAGATGCGTACAATGTCGCGATGGCCGTTCTTTGATGCAGCGTGCAGTGTCGTCTCATCTTGTACCCGCGCGGTGTCCGCAGCCTTGTATTTCTTCAGGATGTAGTCAGTCACCTTTTTACTTGGTCCCGCTGTCCCTTCGCCGTACTTTAGGATCTTCCCAAACTCGTTGACAGTGAAGGATCCACCTTGCACACGTTTTAGAAACAGGCCTGTCTTCCAAGCGTCGACGAGAACATAGCACCACATTTGCCTCCGTCCGCCGTGTGGTAACTCTTCCTTTCCACGCACGAGATACACCCGCTCCTGGTCGCTAGTGAGGTTTCTGGTACAAAGCAGTGCATTTAGAATTTCGTTGTTGACATGGCGGGAGCAAAGTGTCTTAGCAGCGCGGAAGTTTCCAAAGAGCGACGCGTAGTGCAAGGGAGTGTCCCCGTACTTCGTCTCCTTCATCCTGTCTGCATCTTTGTCCAGAAGGAACTTGACCACTTCTGGGGAAGCCAGCTTTGCCGCGACGTGGAGCGCGGTTTCGCCTTCGTCTTTGGAGCTGTGGTTCACATCTGCTCCGCAGTGAAACAGGTATTTCACCACGTCTAGATGGTCGTACTGACAGGCCAGGAACAGAGGTGTGGATCCGGCTTTGCTCGCTTGATTGACATTCGCAGATCCTTCAGCGACCAGCTTCTCCACCGCCCCGATGTTGCCGGCTGCCGCGGCGAAATGAAGCGGGTTCAGCCCCTTTAAGGGCTCCTTACCGTCAACCTCAGCGGGGTTATGGCTTATCAGTCGATGGATACGAGCGTCGTTCCCTTCTCTCGCAGCTTGGTGAAGTGGACGCAGGCCATTCTCAAGTTTGTCATTGAAGTCCAGCTGCTCAAGGATTTTTACCAAGCATTTCTCCTCTGCGATTTCCCTGGCGGTCTTTCCGACGAAGTCTTGGGCGTTGTTGGTGTTGGCAACTTCCTGGGTTGAGATGTCGGACCAGTCGAAGTATAGAATGGCGGCCACGGTGTACCTGTTGTTGTAGTACACGGCTTGGTGAAGCAGGGTGAATCCATCTTCGTTTTTGGCCTGGAAATCGCACGATTTCAGTAAATGTCCTCCGGGGAACCCGCCGGTTCGGATGATTTCGAAGGCTTGTTCAGTTGCGGCAGACTTATCTGTATTAAACATTAGTATAAAATAAACTTGGGTCAGTTTGATCTCATAAAGAACTATACATTTTCCACAAAACAATATTCCATTCTAGGGACTAAATATTTCGCTAGTAGGGCTAGGGGTCATCTTTAAACATAAAATGGAATGGCAATGTCAATATTACGATCATTCCCCCAACATCTACTTGGAGATAATAGATCACCTACCTGCGTCAGCGTAGTAATGGTTATGCACGTGCATGATGTTCCTATCTCCAATCTGCGCAGCTGTTCCCTCGACGATTTGGAGTCTTTCTGGAACGGGTGCTAAAAGAAAACGTTGACCATTACTTTTAATCCCAAAGTGGCTATGATAATACATAGGGAGTAGAGCTCTTTCAACATACTTAGCAAATACACATGTAGTATAATTCTTTATTTGTGAAGAACGTTCAATAAAATGTAACAAGTGAAAGAAGTTGAATCTTATGCAAATCTTTAAATATCTGTAGTCCAAGCTCACCCTCCAGAGTTGGTGTGACAAAGCGCCACATTGCGGCTGCTACGCCCAGCACAGCAAGGAGCATAACCAACACTAGTACTATGGGCATGGAAACCTGTAGAATGACCGGCACCATCCTGATGTACCTGTGAAGCAAGCAATATCGAACAATAAATAGGACATTTCAAACCTTGGGGAAGTATTTAGCGTTTCTGTGAATTCGTTGGCAGAAATTAAACAAAGTGATGGTCTCTCTGGCGTACTTTCAACAGGCCTAGCCTAGTACAGAAATCTTCCATTTTTACACTGTCACCATAGCAACGCCCTGCTGTTCCACCCCGTCCAGCCAGGCCAACTGTTGGGACCTAACTTCCTGTGTGTGACCCATTGGAGTCTGTTTTTAGAGTATTCCCCCCAACCACGTGCTATCACTCAACTGTACGGGCACAAGCAAATACATACACAAACACCCAAAACAGGAAATAATGTATATAAGTTCAAACAACACTCATATCCAATGCGCGTCAGACGCGCAATGGTTAATGTATACACGTGTACAAACATAAGTGGACCAAACATATTCCTAAGTAAACAATATTGCATAACTCCATTGAACTTGGTACTTCGACTTCAAGAACACAATTTCCCCCAAAACAAGGTTCTCTGCATACTGTACTGGGTTCTGTTCTATATGGGGCAAAAGTCACCAAGGTGCAATGACGAATGCCATGATTGTCAACCTGCCCCTTTGAGTATGCATTCGACCTCGTCTTCAGTAGGAATTGTAAAAGATAAGATTCTATAACCAACTAACATACGCACCTGACTAGTACTGTTCTCAAAATAAGCGTGAAACTCTACAGTTTTCTGTTCCAAGACGGCTACGTCAGCGTTCGTGGCGCCTTTGATGCCTTTGTGTGTGCCTGAGCAGTGGAGGGTCCAAGAGAGGGTTTGCATCGTCTGCTTGCCCTTCCAGGTGGAAAATTCGACGGAGAGTTCTAAAAGTGACCACGCTGACGTGGGTGTACATTCACCATATACTGCTGTAACAACATCATCTTGTGTTATACTAGTACCATGCAAGAAATCATTCACTGTCGATGTCCTTTTTCGGGATGAAGAGTATTATAAAACCCCATGAAGAACCGTGTTAAAATAATAGTATGGGGAAAGTCCCTTCGTCGGCTGAAAGGGTGTGTCCAAATAACCTGGTATAACCTTGTAGACATTATAAATGCGATAACAATGGACCTGTTTTCAACCATCGCGAGTGCCTGTCATCGCCATATAGTCTTGTGATAGACTTCGTAAACGTAAAACAGAAACAGGTTTGGATTTTCTACGGATAAAATCGGAACAACCGTCTATCTTTAACGCAAGCCATGAGTCAGCGAAAGTTGCAATCAAAAACACCGCTTGTGGCAACATGACCTTAATATGACTTATTAAACTAAATAAAGGTTAACCAGTAAATATTAGTTCAAGACCTGCCTAGTGCCCGCAGTACTAGTGTATTGTCTTCTTGCAACCTCAATAAAGTTACATTTTCAAACTTGATGATACCTACGGAGCAGAGGCATACATATGTATGGATATGATATAATACCATGTATAAAATAGATATAGAATTAAAAAAATAGACTGTATTTCAACCATCTCCAGAATCTTATATGTCCATTAGATCTACCGGTTATGAAAAAGTTTACTATTACTGTAACAATAGTTGCATGGGAAGCAAATACAGACTTACAATTCATTCTCAGTAGAAACGTGTGAACACAACACATAAGAAAACATGATTTTTGCAGACAAAGGCAAAATATGACCTTTGTATTTCACGTATATACTATTGGCTCAGGAATGTTTTCACGTACTCAACGTCAATCGCTATTGACATTGTGTATACAAAACATTAGTATACACAGGCCCGTACTTTCATTAAACCAGTTGCCGTCTCTTTTTCAGTCTCAAGGTACATGAAGGTACGTGGAACGTCATTTGTCTATCAACCTTGAACTGCAGGTAACTTGTATGATAAGCTCCACCTGGCCAGTCAATAAGTGCATCGAGTGACTGTCCTACTCAAAGATCAGAGCTAGTAATAGATTAATGAATGAATGAATGATGAATGAATGAAACTAAGCGCAATGATTATTCAACCGCTATCTTTCACTGCTACAACTTACAAGCATCACCTACAAGTTCCTTGACTCAAACACATTGCGCCACTCTAAAGTCTGCGGGTTCGAACAAATATGTGACATCACCAGCGTCCAATGGTTGCGTTTGATGCTATCGTCTAATATTAGTCTTGTGACCGGTCTTGTGACCAAAACTACCTTCCAAGAACCTGACATATCACAATTAACACTGTACGTCGTTTATTGAGCCGCCAAGTAACGGTTGGCACTTAAAAAAACTTTAAATTTGCGTTGTTACCAAATAACTGAATCTAGAATGGCAAGTAAGCTGGCAAGCGACGACTTTGACGAGCAGTTTCTGACGTGTGCCGTCTGCATGCTACACTACCGGGACGCCAGGATCCTGCCATGTCTGCACACATTCTGTAAGCAATGTCTGCAGGACTGGGCCGCAAAACAACAGCCACTAGAGTGTCCGACCTGCCGCAAACCGGTCAGTCTACCAGACCAAGGTGTGGACGGACTCAAGATCAACTTCTACGTCAACAACCTGCTGGAGTTCGCGGCCGTGAAGAAAGGGGCGGAGCCAGGTGTGCCGTGTCAGGTGTGCGAGGGGAATGTGGAGGGGTCAAAGTCTTGGTGTGCCGATTGTGCTACCTTAATGTGTCAGTCCTGCACGGCGGTACACCGGAAACTTCCATCTACAAAAGACCACGAAGTTACCACCGAAGAGACACTTAGAGCAGAGAGAGGACTGACCAAGTTTCAGCGCAAACGGTACTGTAACAAACACAAGAGCCATGAACTGGTCTTCTACTGTGAAACCTGTAACGCTTTGGTTTGTACGGCGTGTACCGTGGTCGACCACCGGCCGGGCAAAGATCACAATCCAGTAGAAATCACCTCCGTCGCCCAGACGAAAAAAGAAACACTTCAAGGACTTCTCCAGGACATAGACCCCCGTCTGAGGAAGATTGAAGCCTCTATTGAAGATGTTGACAAGAAGATGTCTAAGGTGATTCATTCTAAACACACGGCCACAAACCAAACCAAGGCGTACTTCCGTCAACTTGCTGACGTTATGGAAAAGCGTGAAGAGGAGATTTTGAGTCAGATTGAAGAACAATGCCAAGTCGACAGCAAATGTCTGCAAGCAAAGAAGGAAGCTATCGAGTTTGACTTGGCTGAACTGACGAGCGCCCAAACGTTCTGTCAACAAACTGTGGAACGCGGAAGTGACGTGCACATTGTAGAAGTGGGAAAGCAGGTACAAACAAGGGTAGAAACCCTGCTGACAAAAGAGCTGGACCTGGAGTCCAACTGGAGCGAGTTTCAGTTCATAGTGAACACTTCTGTTGTGGATTTTGAGAAAGAAGCAGAAAAATTTGGAGGCTTAGAGACAAACGTTGACGTGTCTAAGTGCAAAGTCGCTGTAAAGCCGGCAGTTGTAGGCTTTCAGTGCGTCACAGTACTGACTACAATGAACAAAAATGGTTCTCCGTGTGGTACAAACAACAAAGCCATCACAGCCAACATGGAAGACCCCTCTGGAACTGAAGTCCCCACACAACTACAGATGAAGAGCAGGGGCGTGTGGGAAATATCGTACGTAACCAAGGTCACGGGCAAACACAGGTTAGAGGTCAAGGTGAACTCGCAACAGGTGGCAGGAAGTCCGTTTGAAGTTCAGGTACAGGAAAGTGACACACCTGTGTTAACTATCGGACGGAAGGGTACTGGGGTGGGGGAACTGAAGGGGCCGATAGATGTCGCTGTCTATAAGGACGGCAACATTGTAGTGGTGGATCACGACAACAAGCGGGTTCAGGTATTCGATGTAAACAACGGTCAGCCTTTGACTAGCTTTGCCGTGGGCGGTAAGAACCCTTTTGGTATCGATGTTGACTCAAGTGGAAGGTTTCTTGTAACGTCGTGGGGCGAAGACTGTGGAATAAGACGTTACTCAAAGGAATGCGAAATTTTGAACACACTCAAGCCTGACTGTGTACGAAATCCAGCTGGAGTTGCAGTTCTGCATGACGGCCGCATGGTGGTGGTGGACAACGATCAAAACTCGTGTCTTTTGCTGCAGCCTGACGGGAGCCTCATCCGGGAGATCGGCAAGGGACACTTACGGGCACCGCGCTTCATAGCAGTGGATGAGTCACGTGATTTGATGTTCGTTACAGACATAAGCGCACACAAAGTATTTGCCTTCGGTCTTGACGGAAACTTGATGTTTACTTTTGGTAAGGAAGGTGAGAATGATGGCGAGATTAAAGGCCCATTTGGTATAACGCTAGACCCGGTAGGCAACATTATTGTTGGAAACTATGGTGACGGCCGTGTGCAGGTGTTTGGAACAGATGGGACTTTCAGACGGAAGATTGTAACAGTTAAGGGTGACTCTGCCTTTGGAATTGCCCTGACTCCTGATGGTTACATAGCAATAGCGTGTTGGAAGGAACATCGTGTAGAGTTGTACAAGTACATGTGATCACCTTACATGTATATCATGGCGTGGTGTCTTAGCATTGCTTCACCTTTTGCAATTTTTGTACTATCTAGCTTTTTGTTTGTCGTGATTTTAGCAAGGAAAAAGATGACAGGCAAAACATTTATGTTGTACAGAAACGTTTAATTCCACAAGACATTATATATAAAATATACAATTGGTGACATTTGTGACCAACGAAAAACATATCTTTATAACTTTTGTTGTTGTTCAAATTATATAAGAAGCTGTTAAACTAGTATCTTTCCTTTCGTTTTGCTTTTTGGTAGTCAAATTCTTGTTTTATTATTAATGTATAACCTATGAGAAATATAACCATCTCTAAGACTAAGAACGTTCGAGCTGTATATAATGCAATTTTGTGATATTGTGTTGAATATATCGAATAAAGGCTAGCTGTATTCTTGGTTCAAGTTAAAATAAAAAGTGGTGCTTGATGCCTGCTAAATACGCGCAATTATTATTTTTTATTTGTGCCTTTCGTCCCAATGTCAGTAAATCGGTTGAAGACACTGATGGTTTACATACATACCGGCAATCTCTAACTAGAGGTTTTCAGAAGTTTTATCGAGCTTTCTGTTTTGTTGGTGTTTCCTTTGATATCTAAAATAGAAAGCCCGACAAAACTTCTTTAAACAAAATATTTTTCAGGTCTAACCTCTGCTTGGAGAGTATTTACTGGAGAGAATGTAAAGACAGACATCTATTTTTCACAACGCAAACATTTCAAGTGCACGCTTTACGTCCTCTTTCATCTTTCAAACTTTATTCATCAACTTGGCAGTCCTTAGAATTAGACTGAATTGCGTTGATTGTACAATTTTGCCAATTATAAAAACACCGTACTGTTAATAAGCAACATATCATCAGTTAAAAAGATATTACAGTACATAATCAATTGATTAAAATATGGTAAATATAGTAAAAATACATGGACGACGTGATGGACACACAGTGATAAAAGTACGTAATATGTATAAATGTGATGTGGACGACAGAAAAATATGGGCTTTAGCCTGGATTTTGTAGGTCTTTCATAGCCCTCGGAACAAAGGAGTTTTTGTGTCTTTCAGTCCGGCTGATTGGGAGTTTGTTCTGCGATCTGCGTCTCAATTCATAACGCGGTTCCTCAGTCGGGTGCATGAAAGCATGACAGGGGTGTCCTGCTCCTAAGCCCACCTGTGACAGTCAGAAATGTTTTCATTATCTCTCCGGATCGTTGTATTGACTTGAAACTCGGTTTTCATAAACGTCAGACCACTCTGTACATGACTACTGTCAAAAAGTTGATTTGTTCACAGTGGATAAAAGTCAATTTCGATAAAAGGTCACCAGCCCGTGACCCGTTGCGTCATCACAAGAAACAGGTGCATCTGCGCAGAGCATGACGGGATAAAAACATGGCGGCGCCCGTCAGTGGGGAGGGCGGTTTGGTCAAGTTTTATGACGTTTTCTCATAATTTCAACTTTTCCTAACAGTTCTCATGTAACGTGCACAAGTGAAACAACCTTTGACAGAAATTTGGTGAGTTTGAGCGCATGACATTGCGTAATGGAGGTGATAAAAGGCATCGTATGGACGGTCCTCTTCGCTGGGTTTGTTGTCCTAGCTGTACAGTATTGGCTGGACCGGAAAGGTTACAACTTTGAACACAAAGCGATAGCTGCCATCACAAGGGAATACATAGGTGAGTAGATATAATAAGAAATAAAGTTTGCCAGGTATAGAGGGGGCCATCCCAAAAAGTTAGGTAAAATCGTGAACTTCAAGGCAATTGCACAAGCCTTGATAATTATGATGATATTTGCATTAGATATTGTTGTGTAGAGCATAGAGTACGCAACTACTAGCCCAAATTGTGACAATTACGGCACAAGCTTAAGAGTTGCAAAAAAAGTGGTAGTCAATGTCAGTTAGATGGATTCTTTTCTATCAAGGATATTTGGCTCGAAAATGTTACATAATGACACGTAAAAGTTTGACGTACTTTTGATATTTCCATTAGACGCTGATCGTGAGACAGCAATGAAAGCTATCGTAGCCCACCTGCGAGAGTTGAACCCTAACGGTCTGCTGCCTGATGAGGACCTACAGTGGCTGTACGTGGATACCAGTAAGTAAACAACAACAAGTAAACAACAGCAACAATTTTGTTCTGAGGACCCTGAGCTTTGAACTGAGATACAAGAAGTGTTGGACATTTGTTATTGCTTGCTTTATTAAATTGGTTTTGAAAAATTGAAGGCCGTCTAGGTTACACTTCTGAGAATTTCACTTGTGTATTTTATTTTTGTGTATCTAAAAGTACCCTTACAAACATATACACACATATGCACACACACACACACACACACACACACACACACACACACACATGCACATGCACATGTACACACACTCGCACACATGCATACACACATTTGTAGTGTTTCGTAATGCTGAAAATGTATGTCATACGTTTTTTAGTTGCCCCATTTACAAACTTAAAATTCGTCAGCTGCACCTGTCTCTAATAATTATATACTAGTACTAGTACACACCTGTCAACCTGTGTCTTTACAGCTGAACACGTTGGACCCATGTGTCTGCTGCACCTGTCTCTGACTGAGTACCTGGCCTTCGTGGGTACAGATCTGGACTTTGAGAGGTCTCCAACAAAATATGGTAGGATTTACAAAGCAATCACATGTACAGATACTGTACTTGATATGCTGTAACTTGAAAGGCTTTTCCAGGCTATTTGAATAGGTGAGTTGATTTATATATGCTTGATCGTTTTTTCATAAGCAGTGTTACACAGAAAGTAACATTTGTAATGTCTCTTGGTAACTTGGCAAAAGTAAATTATAAATAGTAAATGTATTGTCAGGGGTCTTCAACTTTGACATATTATTACAAATAATGCAAAACAAGTTGTATATTCTCACTGTAAGTAAGTTGTGAAGTAGCTTATTGTGATAATATAGTGAGAGTACTAAAAATCCTGTCATTCTGAATTTTTGTAGAGAAAAGTGGCAAAGAAAGAGAAAGCAGCAAAAGAAAGGAAGACAAAACATCAAAGACACAAGAAGAGTGTATGTGTGAGGAAGAAGAATCTGAACCAAGACAAGACGAAAGGGACAAGAAGGGGAACAAGATGAGGAAAGATAAGACGAAGCGCAAGGAGAAAGAGTCTCAGAAGAAGGAGAAGAAAAAGAACAAGACAAAGCCAGCTGATCAAAGCTGTTGCACTCAGAAAGACAAAAATCCAGAAGAAAATCTAGAAGAAACTAGGAAAGAATTTGTCAAGCCTTGGAAAAGAGGTATTATACAGATTCTTATTACAATGTATAGCTTTTCTACACAATAGTTTTTGATTACACCTATGAAGACTGCATGCAGTTGGAGCTAGATGTGCAATTTAAAAAATAAGCGTTGCAGGTCATTCAGTGTTATATGCCTGCAAAGCTGGTGTGCTGTTATAGGGTAGTTATACAGCCATCTATACAGATAACAGACCATGAATGACAGGGCTAAATTTAAAACTCTTTGCTGTAGAATATGTTTGTACAGAGTAGTGTATTCTAAAATAAAGCTTGTATGTTTTGTTGCAGATTCAGTATGCCAATACCTGAAGCACTACATACCCAAACCTAACAGCTCACTGGAGCTTAACTGTAAGTAGACGACTTTCAAATTGCCTTTTCTTTTTTCAATTTTACATGCAAAATAACTAGCATTATGTAGTATTTTTCAGCTATTATGTTTGTTTTTATTTGGTAGGTCATTAACAATATGGATGAGTATTATGAATTCTTTAACAAACCTCCAGGGCATGGCTGGGCCAACACCTCAGAGACTGTGATAGAAGGTGGAGGTGTGCAGACAAGAGTCAAACATGATGTAGAGTTCACTGTCAATCTTAAACCAGGTACGTTAATGTGTGGTTGTATCAAATTTAATGCCTTTAACATTATAAGAAATGGCTCAGAACCACAAATTTAATGTATTTGTTCTCAAGGCCTAGGAGAATCTGATTAAATTTGTGTGTGCAGTCTACATGACTTCCCCATGTTCCCACAGGTGACACAGCGTGGGTTCTCACAAGTGATGACCATCTCGTTCAATGGAGCATGGACACGTGGATGATTGAGTACGGGCGCGGCTTCACCCCCATGCCGATCGCCTCCTCCGTCCTGAACGCTGCCCTGTACACACGAGACTGGCCAACACTCAAGTTTCTACTCAACCTGTACTACAAGGGCCTGGTCAGGGAGTTCATGTTCCACTCTTCTATTGTACAGGACTTTCTGGAGGAGATGCACCATTTACAGCCATTCTTACAGTAAATGGTGTCATTCTCTCATTCAAGTTCAATATTTAACATAAGACAGTAGCTACTGAATTTTAGGTGCCATTGGGGTTAAAATTAGCCTTAGGCTAATAGATGTTACACAATGTATTCCTGTCGGGCTTGTTTGACCTCCTCCCCAAGAACTTGTGACCATTGCAAATACCTATAACAATTACCTTTCCCAGAACTACCAATAGGAGCTCAGGATTCTTCACCACCAAGAAAATCAGTCCAATGGGAGCTCAGGATTTGTTGTCTCCATGGAAACCAGTCATCACAGCCAGTCATCATAAGGTAACAGACACATAGCATAAATCAACAGGATTCGGATGTTCCCGATTCTCCTGACTTACAATGTAGAGGTGTTGTCCATGAAGCTTCTAGGGTCCTGACCAGTTGAATGGCTGCTAGAAGTGTGATGTAGACAGGCAAAGGTTGAAATATGTTCCTCAACTTGTTAGACTGTGCACTATGGCAGCTGACTGCACGCAATCATGATCTAGCTGTGTTGCGCTGGTAACAAAATGTGTGAGTATCAAAAACATTACAGGTATAAACACAAATTATAATAATTATAATGGTGTTGTATACTATGAAAAGACAAGAATAAGTAACAGTACAAGACAGCATTGGAGCTTTAACTTTGAAAACTAATTATTTATTAATAGAATCTATACTTGTCACAAGGAATGTTTTTATAGCTGTTAGATTAATATTTTGGATATTACATGCAGAGTTAACTGTATGAAGTGTCAATCTATTTATTTTATCGCATGGCTGGACCAAAGCAACAAAGCAAATCACACAATGAATAAACATTGAACCCTTTGCAGAGTCTGCACATTGTTACTGATAAGGCCACACCAAGTAAATTTTATGGATGACGTCCGCGCGCGCATTGATTTTGGCCTGTCCCTAGAAAAAAAAACAAGAAATTCCGCTTCCTGTAACTATGACCAAAGAGTCACGACAGTGCGGCAAATAGGTTTATACGGACCAAAGCTTATGATTGAAGCATCAAGCAAGGAAATCATGACTTCCATTAGGAATTCAGTTTGGTACATGCTGCCACATTTGAAGAAACTTGCTGACCGCTCCATCTATCTCCCCAAAGCACAAGACGACAACTGCTGTTCCACCTGATTTATTGCTGTTTTGATGATGAATAAAAGACTTGTTGCTTGTTACACTGTGTCACCTCATTCAATTTGTGTCCTAACATTTGTCGTCTCTTAGTATATTTCTAATCTAGGCATCTTGTTTTTTAGGGCCCTTCTTGTTTTTTTTTCGCCCTCTCGCATTAGATTTAGGGTCTTCAAAGGACGTCATCCATAAAATTTACTTGGTGTGGCCTAATGTTTGTATCCAGTGGCGCAACAGTTTTTGTTTGTTTGTTAAACTTTGTTTTATTTATCTCAGTTTCATACCACTGCAACAGTGTCGTTTATTCCATATTTTCCCCTTGTATGAACATTTAATACTTTAAAAATACTCAATTTGGTTAGATGCATCATTTTTGAATGTTTGTCACATGGTACAATGGCTTCACCATGATTATGTACTATCCTCAACACAGTAACACAACACAAACAACTGGGGCAAAGGATTGCATGGGAACATATACATGTAAAATGCATAAGGTACTCTTGTGAGAATTTTATGACAGAAATATGGTGTGAAATGTGTAATATTGGTAGAGTTCAGTTCAGAACTGTCAAAGGTGGCTTTGTTTTTACTCTATTTCCCTTTCCTCATATAAGAAGTTTTACCATTTTTTTAAAGCTTAGTAGAAGTGCATGGTTTGCATCAAAGTGTTCCCCAAATCTGCTCTTCCAAGTGCCAATTTAAAGGCACTCTAAGCAAAATAAGTGACTGCAAGTAGCTTATAGCTCATCTTCTATAAGCTACTTGCTATATAAGATATCATATTCTCTTAGAGCCTTCTCATGACATGCTTAAAGCTTTAAGGACCTCTAATTACTGATACCATAAAACAACATAAATCCCTTAAATTGCTTGTCTATGGCTCTATAGCAACATATTCAAGAGTATATACAGATTATATACACAGGCCATAAGCAGGCATAATTATGCAGCATTTTTCTAATTCTCTCATCACATTTTCCACATTAAGTACAACATTTTTCACTTTCTGGTTGCATTTACATTCACCTCAACACTAGGTGGAAGCAGAATCTGATGGCACAATGAAGCATTTTACCCCATTCTCCTTTGTTACAACATACTCAAAATATACACCCTTCTAGCAGCATCTAAAAGCTCTGTTTTGCTATATCTCCAACAAATATACATGTACTGTACATTTGATTTGCATCATTAATTAATCATCCATTGTTTGAAAAGCATTTACAAGTTTTACCATTATTCACATCTTTATGAAAGTTTACTCTTTACAAATTAGGGTTTTGAATTATCTAATGTGTTAAAATTGCCACTTTTACAAAAGTTGCAGCATTGTAAAATAGATTGCGTGGGAAAAAAAACTTCGCAAAGATATGCTTTTGTAAAAATTTTTAGCTCCGCATGCACAAATAAAGCAAAAAATACATGTATATCAACAGCAACAAATAGTTTTTGGGAACATAAACTTTGTTTCACACAGTTTACTCTTTGCCTCAAATCTCAGTCTCAATCTGTGTGTGGTAGAGATCGTCATTTCCAAACTTCAACTGCAAGTTCTGAAAAGCCACTGAGTCATCAACATCCACTTCCACTAAGTCAGCACTCATGGAGCGGGTAGGGGGCCTTGGAGGACGTGCAGGGGGTTTTGGAGGAGGGTGGTTGGGACGGGTTATATTGATGGGTCTTGAAGGGGGGCCACCGGGTGCTACAGGTGTGGACTGGTACATAGGGAAGCCGATGGCTACCTTTGTAGGCATGGTATCTGGGTAGGCCACTGCTGTACCTGGCCCCTTCGGATGTGCTACGTTATGGGCCCCCCCTCTAGAATTGTGAGGATATTTAGGGGGTAGGGCCCGCAGTGGCTTTGCCGGTGGAACGGGGGGTTTGGGAGGGGGGTTGGATGGTACTGTCTTTGTGTAAACTTGACCGCTTTGGGCCATTTTGACTTCTGTCGTCTTTTGGTAGGCTTCTCGTCTTCCGTTCTCCATGTTGTCAAAGTCAAGTCGACGGCGGCCTCCGCTGGATTTGCTGGCGTTGGAAATGCTGTCTGCGTCCTTGAACTTGTGCTGTTCCGGCTGGACAGTAAGGATGACGTCGGGAGGGCATGGGCGGGTGGGAGGCTGTCTCGGGTTCTTGCGGATTGGTAAAACAAACTCTTCGTCGATCTTCGTACCAGTGTCGTCAGAGTTTCTTGTGGTATTTTCTGTTCTGTGGAAAGTGAAGGGATGTGAAAAACGTGTGAGGTGATGTCTTGACAAGTGAAGTTTCATTTAACCTCCCTACTGTCTAATTCTGTAACTAAAACAAATTTGTGATCTTGCTATTGCATAGTTCAGGCTGCTTTTAATTATGTCTTTGTGGACATGCCATAGAAAAATCTTGCACATGTTCGTCTTGCCTTTTGAGTGCATTTCTTAAATATATCTTTCTGACAGTTTTAACAGCCTTAAAAAACAATATGATAACAAAGGAATGAATTCAGAAGTGCTATGTTGTTACCTGTGTTACTTTTGGCAGAATCTTTTGGATGCACAAAATTGAGATAAGAAAAATCCTTTGTTAGTTACAGTATGTACTTAGTAAGGTCAGATTTAAAAAATGCAAATGAAGGTAAATGAATTTACAATACAAAAATCAACTACAAAGGCACATTGTAGATTACTATAGTCATATACCATAGTTAGTTACCTGTATTTTTCTGCATGCTTTTGGCACCTTTTCCTGATCTCTGCCTTGAACCAGTAACTCACTACAGCAGCCACCAACAGTGGAACAATCACCAGGAACACAACCAGCAGGATCACAATCAGGGAGTCATCTACATAGGAACAAAAAAAAGAAACAAGAAGTCAATGATCACATACCTCCTGAAATATTTGTGTTTATATTATATTTAATAAGTGAATCTCTTGTTTTAGTCATAAATGTTTCTGAATCTGTCTAAGATGCATTTCCCACTGACTGCTATCCATTATAAGCAGCAGACATGCATATGGCAGGACATTGAAGACAGGAAATGAGATAACCTTTTCTGGGACCTTTGAACTAATTTCCTTCAATTTTCTCTTTATATTTGGAGGTAAAAAAACATAAGCATGGTTACGATTGATTCATAACCCTTTTTTGAAAGAGATAGCATTTCACCAGAATTTCAGCACCAAGGAAAGATACTACTTGATTTGAACTCCATGCAAATGTTTCATAAGTGATACCAATTGGAAAGATATTTGATATCCTTGACATCCTTTTATAAACCGTGAAGGACAGTGAGGGTGCTGATTTTTATAGTACAGTTGTACTAGATCAAGAATTCAATCATGGGGATGTCTTATTAGCACAAAATTATAACATTTTGTGAATCAATATTGACTTTTATGTTAAAAGATACCCTTTTTAGCACCAAGGAAAGAGGCCATTTGATTTTACACCATGCAGATATTTCACAAGTCATACCAATGGTAGAGTCCAATAGTAAAGATATTTCATTGACTTTTTTGTGAAAAGATAGCATTTCAGCACCAAGGGAAGATGCTATGTGACTTTACATCATGAAAATGTTTCACAAGCAATACCAACAGTATTGTATCTTAACATGCAAGTCGACAGCACCTCCATGCAGATGAATAGAATGTCAGGGAAAATCTACTGTCCTTACTATCACTAGTTGGTTCAGGTGGTTGTGTAGGTTTTTTGTTCCCCTCTATAGCACCTGGCTTGTTAACAGGTGTGGATGGGGCACCTGTTGCCATAGTAACAACCTCAGGGGTATATCCTAGCAACACTCCACCACCAAAAAAAATGAAAACCTTCTTATAACTTCTCATACGGTTGACTAACTAAACAAACAACAAATGATTCAACATTGAAGAAAATATTGGTTTAGGTTCAAATGTCAGTGGATCTTGTATTATGTTCAACAGCTTTTTTTGCACAGGTTGCAAACACCAAAAATGCATATATTTGGTTGTGCGCGAAGAAGATTGTAATTTTCAATTTGGGGGCTAAAATCACACAAATGGAGCTTTAACAAGAAAAAGTTTGTTATCCTTACTGTTAGTAGTTTGTTGTGTAGGTGATTTTTCCTCCAAAGCAGCTTGTTACACAGGTCACAAACATTATAAATACAAAATAATGATGTAGATGGGCTAAAAATTGGTTGAAGAATTTGTTCTGGAAAATATTTTTAAAATTTTGGGCCAAAATCATACAAAATGACTTTGATAAGAACAGAAGTTTGTCATTCTTACTGTCAGTAGTAGGTTCTGTAGGCGTTTTGTCCCCTTCACTGCTCTCTGTACCACCTGGCTTGTGACCAGATGTGGGAGGAGCTCCAGTTGCCATAGTAACCACCTCAGGAGCATATCCTAGCAACGCTTGATTGACAGCTGTGAGTAGTGGGTAGGGCTGCTCAGAACAAGTTGTGCCCTGGAAGTCATCAAAGTCCAGAGACCACACCATGGCTCCTCCCAGACCTCTGTTTCTCAGCCATTCAACCTAAAAATACAGAAATGTTACCTTTGTCAGAAGGCTATGTTTCTGGTAGTGTCTGTGTAGATGTGTGTGTGTGTATGTATTATGTGGTTTAGCATAATAACTCAAGAAGGTATGGATGGAATGTCATGAAACTTGGTAGATGGGTAGGTCTTCATGACATCTTCAAATGATTAGATTTTGGGCACCCTATTGGCGTATTTGATTATGAAGTTTAGTTGCAGGAATGATAAAGATATACATGTTGTTTTCTTGCTTTCCTGGGGCTTGTGATACCTTATGATAAGCTTTCTTTTGTATTTCTATACCAACTTACCTTTGCTCTTATTGAGGTTTCATCATCATACCCCACCCATAGGTTGTCCTTGTAGGCATACAGTAACTTTGTCTCCTCATTCCACACTCTTCTGCCTCCTGTGTTCAGCATTTGACAGATCTGTGTCCAAACACAAGAAATACAAAATGTACATCTGAACCATAAGAAGCTGAACTAGCTTAAATCCTTGGCATTATCTCAACACATCTGCTTGAAGATTTTTGAAAGGTCTTGCTCTACAAATTTGAATGTTGAGCTATGCTTGAAGTACTTGGGGGCATCTGCATGTTGTTTTACATGAAAACTGTTTGACGTTTCATGTCTATATGCACTGAAATATTATTGCCATTTCATCAGATAGATTATCCTCTGTCATTGGTTTCATTATAAGATAATATTTATGTTAATACCAAAGGAAAATATTGTTTTTGCTAAGTTTCTTCTTCCTCTTCTTCTCCAGTGACCTCTGACCTGAACCAATGTTGTGTCTGTTGCCATGGTAACTAGTAATGCATGACACCTTACCTCATAGTAGGACATGATGCCATCCTCTCTTGTGTAAGTCTGTGCTGGCCCCCGGCCTATGATTGGTGCGTTCACCCCTGTGTTACTGGGAGATGCCAGGGTGAACGACCTCCCGTACAGGGGCATCCCCAGCACCAACTTAGAGGGAGAGGCACCACCACTGATCCATCTCTCCGCTGCCCAGGCCTACATATAAAAGATGAAAAAAGATTTAGAAATGCAAAAAAATGATAAACTGGAAAGATAACACTTGCAAAGCAAATATAAATGTTTACCTTCATATGGGGATGGTCTAGCTCAACAAACTACTGCTATGTTTATTCTTACTCAAACACATTCATAAATATGGTGACCAGCCCATCTAACACTGTCCTGAAACTTGCTACATAATGTAATCCGACACCACATGGTGTGTGCTACAGCACCATCAAAAACTTGTGTGATGATGATATCAAATTTTCTCACTTACAGACCACGATAAAGAACACGAAGAAGAGCTTTTAATTAATACTTTCTAATCTAGGATGTTGTAACAGTTATCCTCTAGTCTGTGTTGCACTAGCCTGGGTACCATTCGGATTTTGCTCTGCTACGCTAGCTAATGTTACACAATCTGAGGCCGCTAGGGCTGCTATTGACTGGCTAAGTTATCGTGGACTCACGGCGTTGAGAGTAGCATCGTCGCCCGTCTCTGCCGGCAGCGCGTGCAGCAGACCGTGGTGCCCGGTACCCGTGTCCCCACCCGTGCCGCGGAAATCATACGCCATCAGGTTGATGAAGTCTAGATACCTGTTTTAATGTTTAAGTTTTTAAGAAAACACTTTGTTTTCATTTTTGAATACTTCAGCAAAAGAGTACAATACAAAACGTCTAACATAGGCGAGGGCTACGTATACAATGCGACCAGTGTTGTTTTAATGCTTAAATCTATGAATAAAGAGAATGTTTTACCTTGCGAGAGTTGGGATGTCGTACCCCGCCTCTATGTGCGTCTTGCCTGCAGAGACAGCAGCGCTTAGTAGGAGGCGCTCCTTCCCTGGCGGGACGGCTTCAGCGTCGTACGCCTCGCGCAGTTCCTGGAATATCGCAAGATTTTTTTGGAGCTCTTTGACAACATTTCACATTTCCATCAAGTATTTAGTCGAGAAGTTGTGAATTTCACTCCAGTTCTATTCATTATTGTGGATTGCCGATTCTGTGTATATTTCACATGCAGTACTCGAGACCATTTTGACCTCCAATTTGACCTTCCTGTCAGTCTGCGGTTACATAATTTCCTTTCCTCACTTCCTGAATCTACCGTTTTCAAATAACAATGCAAAAAGGCTGACAAAAACACCATAGACAAAACAACTTTCCTCAAAAGTGAAAATACACATTATAGAATTGCAGGAAAATTTCAAGAAAATGATAATACTATTGATATTAAGATGATGATGTAAATTAGAAATATTGTTTTGTTGGGTATTCTTTCATCCCCCTTGAAATGTACAGACAGTAACGTACCTGGACTAAAAGTGCAAAGTTTGCCCTGTCTTCTGCGTGAGGATACTCCCAGTCTAGGTCAAGTCCATCAAAGCCTCGTTCCCTTAAATACGGGATGGACGATTGTATAAACGTCCTCCTATTGGCTGCTGATGACGTCATGTCCTTGAAGGGCTGAGTGCCGAAGTTCCATCCGCCAATCGCGAGGAGGCTCTTGGGAGTGGGACCGTTAGCTTCACTTAGCCTGGTCATGAACCTGAAAGGTATTTATTATAGGCAAAATCGACATTGCCCTTTTCTCTGCATTGTGCCAATAAAAGTCTTTTACGCTTAAGTCTTTTATGACAGAAAATCTGCTCTGGCACACTCTTAATCTTATAATCATATATGCATTGTGATCATATATTTAAACTGTCAAATATGTACCCCAATATTAATTAATAGCATCACCATTTTCTTTAAAATTATGCACAGTAGTACGTTTAAAATCTTTGGGTAAAGCAATGCTTGTACGAAATGTGGACATCATAAAACGGTGAAAAGACCTCTGCGTATTTCTACGTTCACGTTCACGTTTGGGACCGCATTATTGTTATCAACTGTAGTGTCACCATGCAGCAACGCCACCATGCGGCAACACCAGAACATTGCAGATACTTACGCTAGAAGACTCCCTACCTTTCATACATCCCCGTGCTCCAGTCTGTGTTGTCGTCGTTCCATTCGAACGGCGCGAGTTGGTAGTTCACCATCTTGGCGAAGGCGTAGATGACGTGAGTACAGAGGGCGGGGTCAATGTCCTCCGGGTAGTACTTCCATGGCTCCGGTCTGTACTGGGCCCAGTTAGTGTAGTAACACACCACTTTGTACTCCGCTCCTGATATTAAAGGCATCCAGTGCAGTTTTAGGGCTCGGAAACCCGATTTTTCAAAGTCAATATTCTAGTCACTTATCTACATACTGAGTTGCAACCACACTATCCTAATGCATATTGACCCTCATTACAAAAATTCTGACAGAAAATGGTTACTGGAAGGACCCTTGGCTGATTTTAGGGTACCACCCATAAAACAAAGGACTCATTTTGTGGCTTCTTTCTGCATGTGTAAATACCCGAAGTATGCATTACTGGTACTGATTGAAATGTGCTAATGCGAAACAATGAATTGCCTTGTTCAGAATATTTCCAGTTTTGCTGCTCTGAAATCGCATTGGATGCTAATTTTTCCTAGAAAAATCAAGAGGGAAGAAATAGAGACAAATTGCACAATAGAATGGTTGGAAATCGGGACCTTGGTCCATACAAATATAATCGCCCTAACTCGGTGTCGGGTCTATCGTGCTTTGGGCTAGTTTTCGGGAATACAGTGGTTCTTCGCCGCTTGACTCAACTAGGCACCCCGGTAGGTTTTACAAAACGGAAGTTCAATAGCTCTCAATAGCTTCAATACGGCTAATCAAACTCCTGCCGTGCAGAACTCTTACAGGTACAAAACTCTCACCGGGCGGTCAGATGGTCTAGACCCAACAATTAGTAGTTGTCCCCCGCCTAGCTCATATGGCCGCCCGGTGGGAGTTTTGAGCCTGTAACACTAAAGGTGGCACGGACCCACTCCCCTGGCCAGAACAATGATTACTAGTATATCTTCGCTAACTTTCTTGTGTAATTTGGGCCTTCAACGTTACGCCTTTTAGCAGTAACGTTACATCCGTGACCAGTGAAAACCAAGTCGTTTTAAAAAAGTTTTGTAAGCATGCCGTAAGCTTGTTTAACGGTCTCCGACGACTACATTATATATTTTCTTATAGAAGATAAACAATATGTAACTTTGTAGCTGGATGGCAAGTTAGTGGGGGAAATCATAGTACGGTTTTGAAAAGAAGGAACGCGAGCTTTCTACGAATATCTTGTAAACTGTCCCCTTTAAAACGCAAGGCGAGACTTGTGTAAATAATGAACGGCTATTCTTAAGTGTTTACGAGGTAAACTATACAAATACCACTGTAGCCATGCACTACAATATACGGGTTCTATTTTGTGTCGTCCATGCCCTTCCTTTCTGCGAATTACAATCACAGAAATTGTAAAATACCCTTTATAACATAGTGTAACATGTACTACATTTGTATTGTAGTTTTTACCCCCTCCCCCACCCTGTAACACCATACGCATAAGGAAGTGGCCGAGTTAGTGTACCGTGACAGCATTTAAACTCGCTCTCAAGGAAGTTTTTAACATAGAGTTGTACCTCTTTTCACTTCCCTTATTTCTGCTACCTAATTTCGAAAATACTGTTCAAAATACGCGTAGATTATTCAAAACTAAGCCACGGTACTTGAAAATATAACGGTATTCTAACTCCCTGCCCGTTAATCAAATATTATTGGCGCGTATAGGACTGTTAAAAAACGGAACATACCTGAACAAGTTGCCATCGAGGCAAGCAGCGTCAAAAATACAACTCCTCGCATGTCCTAAAAAGAGTTCAAACTCTTTATATATCCATATGGCGCGATTTTAGGAAAATAATTTAGGACAGGGCTTCGCTAAAGACCCCTAGTGTTGGGTGTAACGGAAAATGTGTCGTATGCGTTCAGCCGTTGACAGGTGGACAAAGGTGGGTAATTGTGTCAGGTGAACTTTGACCCCTTCGTCATTGTTTGACTGGAAACCAATACGTCATGCCTCCAGACGACGGGAACTGTGTGCCTTAACGGGAGGCAACATATCAAACTTTTCAAAGGAAGCTAAAACATATTCTTCTCTGAAATTGAAGAAAACAACTTTCAATGAGCCAGTATACATAAGCCTATTTAACAGCAAAGTTTTACTGGGTAGACTTTACTTGTGTTTTTCAGTTTTCACTAAATAGTAGGTCCGTTTTTGCAGCAGATGTATATGTAGGGGCATAATCATACCTCCTACTTTTGAGTCGTCTGGAGGCATTTTGAGCCAACACGTACTGACCTAAGCACACATACAGTCATTCAGTTATGACTCGTTTTAAGGACGATAGATGTAGAAAACATACAGGCTGTGGGAGGTATACAAACAAGGGACGTGTGGTAGTACAGAATTGTTTGCCAAATAAGGAAACTGTACAGACACAATAGTGACATTGGAACATGTACGGATATTGTTTAAAGTGACGTTATACATCGCATATAACATTACACAGGCAATGGAAACTCTATGAAGGAATGGTGGAATAATTCTACTACTGATTCTTTTGTTTCCTCGAATAGCTAGTTGCACTAGGTGGGTAACAAGTTATTTTTACACACAACCAGTACATTATCACATGTCGGCGTTTAACAGTGACTGTTTCGTTGGGGACCGCATTCTTTAACCAGTGACACCTAGCTGCAGTGCGAACTAGTACCAGTCAGTATTGCCCTATGGAAGGTCACCAGAACTTTGGCAGATGCCTATATAAAAATGTATTTATTTTTTACCATTTAACGTAACGTATACCACGTCTTGTGGAAAGATCGCTACCATCGCTTTGAAGTTCATATCGTGTAGTCTGTGTCCGAACTCATAGTGAATTGAATTGAATAGGCCTGACTATGATTCTTGCTCTACAAGCCCCTCCGGCTAGTTTAATGAACCCAGAGTAACGCCATGTAAAGGTTAGACCGACCTACTAGCGGCTGCTTTGACACAAAACAACAGGAACATGCATGAAATCCAATCTAACCATTATCCGTAAAGCATGTGTAAAGAAAGGTTCCGTCATTTCAGTCGACTGAAAAAAACGGAACCTTTCCGCATGCTTTAAGGTATGCTAAGATTAGCCTCTACCAGGCTTCGGGATGCAGCTAGAAAAGTAGAATGATTGGCCAAATAGAAAGATATCCATATATATGGATGGTTGCACGGGTGTATTTGATCGGAATGTTGCGTCGAATAATGGACTACATGTGTCATGACTGCAGTGGTGCAGTTGATTGGAATGTTGCTCCGAATAATGGACTATCATTGCTCCAAGCGATGATTATTGTTCGGGTGATCGACCTTTTCACGCCCATTACATTTCATCTGCCTGGACGACAAACGATAAAGAAGGGACCGTCCTATAATCATCGCAAAGTGGTCTTAAGTCCTTTCCACTAATAGTTTCAAGTCTCAGTTTGTCCAAAAAGTCCTGTACGTACAGGGGTGCTTGATGGTTTCGTCGGAAACTAACTTGAAGCACTGTGGTCTACTCTACTCAGTCTCTCCTCTAGCCTGGTAACCAGAGCCTGGTAACCATCCCTACGGACAAGCTTTATCGGCACCAGTCCTACTTTTCCTCACACCCAGTCAATCTTTCAGGTCATCTTTTCTGATAACTCCCGTCTTATAGAGCAAAGTATTATTGAAACCAACACCGTAAAAATTACCGGTGTGCCCTAGTGAACTGGGCGGGAGGGCAACACCCCTAGCACCGCAGCTATACTGGTTACCGGGATAATCCTCTTCAAGCCCCTCAGCCACTACGAAGGTTATGTGTTATAGATGGTTATGATTTCATGTGAGGTATATGGTGTTAAGTAAAAGAAAATTGAAGGATGTAGGCAGATTGATAGATGTTTCCTTGTCATTTGATGCACAAAAGATGATGAATCACTCATGTCAATATTCAACAAAGCTAAGATGTCTCCAAGACAGTGCTATTAATAGCATCGACATGTGCACCCGTCAATCATTTATTTGATTAATGGTATAGGAACACCAGGAACACACATTTGTAAAGAATGGTACAGATAGCACCCAGTATACACATTCCCCGTTACTTTCCCGTGTATGTGAGTTTTATTTTATTAGATGTCTACATGTATATGTGTATGTTTGTAAACATGTTACCAATGCTTAGCCCAATGGGGCGAGAATAAGCTATGAAAGTCTTGATTTATTCCTTAAAAGAAAACACAAAGTGCCGTACTCTTTTAGGAATAACAATGGTCAGTAGGTCATGATTTCACGAAAACATTCTATTCATCGTCCACCCGTATACTACTGTACATTTGGAAAATACGTACGACTTACCACTCTTTGTTTAACAAAAAACAAAAGTAAGTGTCCTTCCACCCAGGTCACCTCTATGCATTATTTAAGCCACTAAACAGGTCAGTGTTTCCCTGGGGAGCTCTAGGGCTGAAACATACCTGTCCTAGTCAGAGGTGGGCGGAGCCATTTAACAACACCTGCTGCTTTCAAAACACAAATAAACAAGCCTTGCGTACACAACTCTGTAAAACAGTATGCAGGGGCTGATCACAGATGTTCAAATTGCATCTCTACTACAACATAAACTGAAACTGAGTATTTGGATTTGATTATTTTATGACATAAATTTATGCTATTATCTGTGTATAATGATTCTCCCCTTAAGCGCGAACGCTTTCCCCGCACCTGCCTGCCTAGCTGCACAACAAAGCTCAGGACTGGACTGCCGGACGCAGTAGGGCCGAGGGGGGCCTTCTTTTCTGCAGATTTAAGAAGAAGGAGGCGACTGCCAAGATGTCAATTCGATCCAAGGACAAGAACAAGGTCGTCAAGTACGTCTTGGGAGAAAAGACGACGGGTAGTGTCTCCAAGACGTCCACGAAGGTGAGGCCATATTTCTTCTGTTACCTAGGGACACTTGTACCTCAGCGATCGGTGTAGATACATGTAGTTATGCATGAAAGTGAGAGTGCGTATCGCGTGTTTCGACTTGGAACCCTGCCCAATGCACATGGCCCTTCATTCTATGAGGGTTATGTCAAATTCGTCGTAGGCAGTTGTACGATTTTGATGTAGTAGGATTTTCAATCAGGCTCTGACAGAATGAACCACCGACAAGCTCTAAAACAACTTTTTCTCGGAAGAAGACAGTCGAATTTTGCAGGTCAAATACCCGACTATCACAAGAATTCTCTCAGCTTGCGATCGCACGACAATCTCACGATCGGATCGCACGACAAATGTGTCCAGCGCATAAGGAAGTCTATCTTGTTACGATTGGCTGTAGACTGTAACAAATTCATCCATCTCGTTTTTTCCCGAGTCAGATAAACACTACGAACAACTAAGAACGCCAATAGTGTTTTATTCTGTATAATAAAAGGCATGGGAATACATAAGTGGATGTGTTTATTCTTAAACCCAGTTGTTAAGAGTGGAAATTATACCTTAATTACAAGACGTTGAAGGACTGCAGCCACATTATATCCAGCTGCATGAACTGTCGTGTCTGACCTCCACATCTGACCCGACGCCATTAAAAATTGCTCTGCTGGGTCAAAACACAGAAAACAGTCTCCCGAATTCGTCAACTTCTGATAACCCTTCATACATGTATGTGATTATTAATTAGAGAAAAGGGATGCAAATAATGTTCATTTCGTGCAAAAAACAATGTAAAACAATGTGTTGACAACTTTGACCTTTCGTTGTTTGGTATACGTTTGTGCTCGAATCACAATTACAAAGGTCACCCATTTTTCAGTTTTAGCCATAACGTCTATGTCTACAATGTTAAAGGCATTCAGTGCAAATTCAGAGCGGCAATAAAACATATTTTGGATGAGAAAATCTGTCTGATATTGACATTTGCTTTCAGCACATTTTTCATACTTGAAGCATTTGAAATAGACCCAAAACAAGCCACGTTTTGTGGTGCCTCCTTGTATTTTTGGTACTACCAGTACTTGGTAAATAGCAAGAACCAGCCTACGGCTAAGATACGAAAACACGCAACCGTTTTCAATCAGCGACATCATATTTTTGCCTTACACATATCAGTATACTATGGGGTAGGATTGATTCAAGTTACTACATAAGAATGGCCAGCAAATTGGCTTTGGCAACCCAGTTTTACTGTCTCGTTTGGTATACAATGTACCTTTAAAACAAACGATAAAGTATTTACTGTAGCAAAATGTCACAAGTGCCTGACAGGTACCAGTGTTAAGAGGGTGTGTCGGTTGTTGTCTGCGGTCAAACACCCTACAGTCGTTGTTTACTTCTGTTTACCTCTGTTTACAATCAACACACAAACATCCTCTCATTTGCACACAAATGCATACATTCTAGAGCTCAAGTGGAATGTTCACTTTCGTTTTCGTGGGATTTGTGTGTGTTTATGTGACAGAAAGCAGTGAAAGTGTGACGGGGGTTACACAGTGTCTGGCATTCGCCTTAGGCGCTGGGAAATTCCTGCCATTTCTGTGACACGAGAAAAACAATTTCATTAGACAGTATATGTAGTAACCAATTTGGTAGCATATTACGAAAGAACAGCGTTCAAGATGCCGTCATTTTCATCCTATAGTTCGTATCAAGGTTTTTGTCCTAGGTAATGGGCCCTTCAAGGGTTTTTCAAAACGATGTTTCTCAATCGAAAGGTTAACAATTTGCACATTCTAACAACACGTTACAGGATTTGTTTCTCCTCCTTAGTCTAAAGCATTGACCAAGTGCCGACGATATTAGATTTCCTGTATAACTGTAGAGTCTCTACTATACTATCCCATACACTGAAATTATGTAGCATCCCCCTATAGACAATAATTAAGGGTTTATACGTGGAGTAAAGACCCGAAACCCTCAGATCAATGACTCTGAATGGCGGCACACAATGTACATAAATGGATGTAAAGTCAGTCACGCCTACAATAGATTTATGAGTAGTCTCGCCCGTCTTGTTGTGGGTGTGGACGACTTACCCACGTCCAGCCTTTTAGCCTTGTAAGGGGTAGAGATTACGTTCGGTAACTTGAAGGCTTTAACAAATAACAGGTTAGGAATAAGCAATTGCTTGAAGATAGTTATTTGTACTTGACGACTATCCCAGTCGACATATGCATCTAAACTAGCTTGATTATTCCAATTCTCTATTGGTTACGGGGTTAGGCAGCAGAGAGGGGGTTAAAAGGCATATGTTAAGCAGTGACCCCTTCAATACGTTTGACCTTGAACATTATCTACATCTCGATAACTTATTCTTAAAACTAATGCAATGCACGAATGATAATCACAGAAAACACTGTCTAAATACATATTTTGTTCATTTGTAGATGACGTCCTCATCCAGTACGTCAGTCAGCACTACCCGCATGACGGCCTCGTCAAGTCAGTCCTCGGGCTCCAGCGTGTTCCGCTTCGGTAGTACCGGCAGCACACCCCCGGCCAGCCCACTGTCCAGCCCCGCTACCCCTCGGCGGTCCCTCACGCGGTCTTCCTCGAGCTCTTCAAGCACCCGGTCCCGGTCGCTGTCGAGTTCCAGCACCGAGAGACGCTCTCTCGTCAGCCCGATTCCAAGCCCGGTCACCCCGAGGAGAGCCACTGCAAGTTCCCTGTCGGGCGCGATGGTGAAATACTCACCTGGCAGTCCTCAGGCTAGTCCTACTCTCACCAGGCGTATGGAGAGGTCTTCCTCCATGGAACACCTCGGCAGTCGTCTGACATCCACCCCGATCTCAGCCCTCATGAAGCAGGGGCAGCATACTCCCGGAGCGACCGCTGCTGCGTTCCTGGCTTCTTCGCAGAAAACCTCGCCAACTTCCAAGGCGACAACAGTGAGTAAAACGACCTCATCTGTATCCCAGCAAAATACTGCGAAGCAAAGTTTAGCAGCTAAAACGGCAGTTGTTTCCGTTAAAACGTCGGCTGTCACTGGAACGAAACAAGAGAAAAGCGCAACCAGCACAAAATCTACATCCTCTGTAACAACCACCATGAAGTCAGGATCTTCATCAACAACCACCATGAAGTCAGGCTCCTCATCAACAATCAGCATGAAGTCAACATCTTCGTCAAAAGCCATCACAAAGTCTTCAGCCAAGATTGCAACGACTTCATCTTCATCGACAACGAGCACGAAAGCCATAGCAAAGTCCACATCTTCATCGTCCGCCATCACAAAATCGACCTCCTCGGCCACTGCTTCATCAGCGTTCCGCTTTCAAGGGTCCTCCGTGACACCCTCAGCGTTCAACTTCGGCAGTACAGTCGGGTACACCACTCCTCCCGTGCCGTTCCGATTCGATGCGCACTACGGTGGCGGCACGATAGGCTACTCGAGCCGAGGAGACGCCAGCAACTCCATGGCCCTGGTTAGCACGAGGCAGAAATCTGGCAGCTCATCCTTTTCCAGCATCCTAAAAAGCCAGCGTGTTGTACCGATACCACATCCGGTACCAATGCCAGCTTTGCCATCTACTGCTTTGGTCCATTAGCTTGGAGAATAGAGCGACTGCAGGATCTTTCTCGCCACCTATCATCATCACCATCATCATCTTTCTCATCATCATTATCATCATCATCGGTTGACCTAAGTCGTGAACAGTCCCAAACCACTGTCTCACAAAAAGTTACCACCAAGACATCATCATCATCATCATCATCATCATCAGCGGCATCAGCAAGTTCATTTGCCAGCATCCTCAAGAGCCAACGGCCATCATCTAATTCATCTTCAACCTCCTCGACGACGAAGACAACGACGTTGGAATCGGAATTGTCTGAAAACATCTACATTAGAAACATCAACAACGGAAAGGGAGAAATCGTCAACTACAGACTAAGGGAGCCCAAACCAGAGGTGGCAAAAATGGCGCGAATTGAAGAGAAAGTTGAGGAAGAGAAGGATTTGGAAGCGAATGCAGAGAAGATCGTGCAGGAGAAAGTTGAGGAGATGAAGAAAGTGGTGATGGTGGACATGGACATAGAGAAACAGCAGACTATGGTGGCAACGAAGGTGGAGGCTATGAAGACTGAACTCATGAAAAGGTGAGTGAATACCTCTCATACTTATGTCTTGCTCTATGAGCGCCATTCCTTCTTTCTTGTGTCACCTCGAGCTCTGCGTGCGGAGTTTCAGTGTGAGTGTTTGTGTAAGTTTGTGTAGTTATTTCCACATGGTAGGCACACCGGCGACACTAACAGACAGTGTGGAAAATGCCTCCGCCTCTGATGCGTCGCCAAAAATATAGCTATTTTGATGGGTAAAATGTAAACAACGTTGACTTTGCGGTCATGATTCATAGTAGAGGGTTGATCATCAGCCAAAGTGATACACTAAAATAGATATCACACGTGCTTCACACGTCTTTGCACTGCTGCTTTTCTTCGCAACCAATCTGTTATATGATTAGGGCAACAGATTAAGAACTTTTCATGCTCATATGTCAGTTATGATACACCACAAGGTGGCTGTGGCCTTTGTTTTGCTTGAACCCTCTCAGTCGTTGTTCCAGACCTTGCCTGTCAATTATACACAGGTTGACATACCCTCTTACCTGCTAGGCGAGGTTTAAGAAGCAAATGATGCGTAATTAATGGGGATAATAGTAGGGTGTTACAAGTAGGCGTAAACGTTGTGAACAAGTTGGCACTTACCTGTCTACAAGGGTGTTATCATTACGGTCGTTTATTAACGTTTGACTGTGCCCTGTTGTGTAGATGTATGTAGTAGTCCACAATAAAAGTTACCAGAGACACTACATTATTGTTTCGTACAAGTACTTGTTGTGGACCATGTTTTTTCGACTGTGTGATTAGTCAAATGTAACATGAAATTGTTATTGCGGGGAAACCTCTGTATATATGGTATAGGAAGTATTGTTTTTGGGTAGCAGCACTGAGCTGTGTGTCTGTCCTGATAGAGTACATGTAGCTAGCATGGTGATAGCACGTGGGTAAGAGAAATTGACAGGCAGAATGACGGGGCCAAAAGGTCAGATACAGGAAATGGGGGTGGACTAGAAGGTCACGAAAATCAAAAATACTTAAATCTCTGTTTTGTTTTGTTCTTACAGGAAAGCTGCTGCCATGCATACCCATAAGTCCATCTATGACGAGTACACATTTGCCACGGGGGCCTGCATCGGCCGCCACTGTGTGGGATTCCTCCTTCTGCGCACGCGCTGCAAGCTGTGCGAGCTGTGGTTGGTCAGCTACCTGACCAAGCTTCACCTGGTGGAGCAGCGCATCCGGGTACTTCTGGACACTCGGACAGAAGACTTATTTTCGACGGTGGGACGAACCGGCATATATACCGAGATGGCACGAAATGGCGGAACGATGCAGTCCGAGATGGCACGAAACGGTACGATGCATTCCGAGATGGTGGGACGAAACGGCACTATGCAAATCGAGATGGAACGAAACGGCACAATGCAGTCCGAGATAGGACGAAGCGTCACGATGCAAGCCGACATGGGACGAAGCAGCACGATGCAGACCGAGATGGGCCGAAGCAGCACGATGCACTCCGAGATCACACGAAACGGCACGATGCATTCCGAGATGACGGCACGAAGCGGCACGATGCAAACCAAGACGATGACGTCAACAGCAACAGCCGGTGGATACCAGAACCTGGATCAAGGGTTTGTAAATGGGGATAACTCCCGGGTGGTAACACAAGTGATCACAACGACTAAATATATGTAAATACAGTTGTAGCATCTAATCACATCATGATACACCACTGGTGCCACAGTTGTATTATTTGAGATACTCGGTATAAGTTAATTCCTAACCTCAATTATGTTCCAATATATGTAATGAATTAATCAAGAATGCATTTCAAAATCGGAGGACACACTCCTGAAATTACTAATCAAGTATTGCAAATGTCTCATTGGCTAGCTTCTGCAATGTTTTAATAATGTAATTACATATAAGGGGAAATGGTGAAAGATAAGAAAAACGCATGCATAGTCACAAGTTTTCGTAATCAAAAACGTGCTGGTGTCCAAATATAAAACCCCATGAACACAACTTTACATGTTGTGAAATGCATGTTATTGTGAAGTGTTTCGCAGTTACTGTATGTCATAGGGTAGAAAAAAGGACTGCATGTACGTTTGCTGGAAATTTATGTGGTTTTCACAAACGATATTCTATTGTAGACTGGCGTGCATAATGAAACAAAATGTTGAGACGTTTTTTAATTGTGTAAGAAGCCCAAATAAAGGGCCAACATGTCAAGATGTGTTGTGACGTATATTGTATAGTGGTAACGTGAACTGTGGCACGTTGACTGGCAAGCACTGTTAAGAAGCTCAAATAATGAGCCGAATTAGAGGATATGTGTATGAAGTCATGAACTTCAAATTATTGTGAAGTTGTATACCCGAAACAAGGGGTATGTTGTCGAGAAGCCCAGTAGTGGGCCGATTTTAGCCAATAGAAATTGAGTATATATACTAGTCGTGTAGTGTTGTATTCTGTTGTGTAAGAGAGACGGCAAACAACAATTTAGTACGAGATGCCCGATTGGTGCGTCCTTTGTTTGCGGGCAACACCCCAGGTCACACTGACCCAACCAACCGGTTTCGCTGGTACATTGCGACCCATAGAGCTATGGCTTGTCCCTCTAAGCCTATTGTACGTACACAGTGAACCATTGTTTAATGAGTCCACACCATAATATATTGCCTATAAATAAGATATCTATCTGTATGTTTGTTTGTTTATTAAGAATTAACAAATGAAGAGGAGAGGGTGACAAATATTTATCTATGGAGGTGGTATTTAACGTACATGTACAACTATAACCTGTGAGACAATATATACGCGTATGTACTGTATACAATGACATTCAACAATGTAATGTATTTGTATCTTCTCACTTTGGAAGGTAGTGTTGTACATTGTATTACAGCTTAGCAAATATAAGGGTATAACATTTAAATACAAGTAATGTATCTGTGCCTGTGATTTGACTACTGAGTAACTTAATTTAGCATGTATATATACGGTTTGCTATCTAATAGAAGTATTGAAATATATGGTGTAATTTAAAGAAGTGTTGGGATAGATTTGGATGTGTAAATGGTAGATTCTGCATGGTTTCGGTACTGTATTTGTGTAGAAATGACATCTCTAACTCTGGCTCCTATTCCAGCTAGATCGCTGAATTTCGCTGATATTCATAGAAATATCATGTTCTGTGATTCTTTTCACTGTTGAGAAATTTTGTCTTCTCAGATATCACGATTGTTTTAATGCCGTTTAGTGATAGCAGTTTCACATACTGTGTATCAATTTCACATACTGTCACAAGTACCTCTACAGTTTCTACTAACATTGACATAAATACCTCCTAAATGTACTACTATACTTTTTTCTAGCTCTCTACAGCACATAAACAGTACTGTACACACAAAACATACCTCCAATTTTCATACCGAACAGCTGAACTCAAACCTCACATATCCATATTTTCTCGTTATATGTATGTATTGGAAATGGTATCTCAGGATTCGAAACTGCATGTAAGGTTCCTATGTTGAGGTTACTATGTTATATTTAGGGTTAACTGGGTTTAATCACATTATTATACATTTATCATATTATTATTTATCTTTTTAAAACGAATGTTGTGTGACATAACTTACATAATATTATGTAATCTTGACATTAAATGTGGTGCATTATGATAAACCCCCATTTCTGTGAGTGGACTTTGAATATAACATGATAGTGATAGAAAAGCAGTGAAATTAGAAATAATAGTAAAAGGAAGGAATTGAACTGAACGCGCAACTAAGAAATGCAGCACAAAGGCTTTATGATGAAAGTTTCAAGCCTTTAGAATAATTCAAGTTTTGACGCTTTGGTTCCTAGGGAACAGCGCCACCTGTATTACAGCGGCTGCTTCTGGTATTGCAGCGGGTTGATCTAAGCAATACCTGCAATGAAAATCCATAACTCCGTACGTGTCCAACTTACGATATACACATAAGATTAAAATTCAAACCCAATACAGCACCTGTTACCATGTTATTTGCCCCAAAAATGGCAGAGATGAATCCATTCAAAGAAATGCCAGGAGAATAAGCATGAGAAAAAATAATATGTCTTCACCACTTTGTGATGTTAAGCCATAATTTAACATCTTGATGTAAAATCATATCTGTTTAACGTGTAAAACATCATTGCCGTCGATGCATGTCAGTGTGAGAGTCAAATTCCCCGCCTCCAAAATAATCTCGCGTTTTCTCGCGAGAGCGACCCTACCGACGAAATCGCCACGAGATGTAAACATTGTTGCCTGGCAACAGCGACGAACACGAGCCGCCATCTTGAAAGAAAGTTGATCCTGGACCCAAAGTTGTCAAAACACGCTATCTGCACATTTCTCGAGTCAACATGGGCTCTACTTGGATTTTAGCACCTTAGTTTTGAGGCTGATCGACTCCTTCAGCTCAAGACAACCTGTTAAGTCGTCTGCAGAACTGATTTTGACGCTGGAAACGTTTTCGAAGTTGTCTTGGAGGAGGGACAAAAGCAAAACATGGCGGACATCAAGGTAGGTTACACTTCTTTTGTAAAGTCCTTCGTCATGGTTTGCAACTGCGTAGGTGACGAAAGTTCACATATTTCTAACGCATTTTTTGGGCTAACATATAATTTTAGGATGTGAGAACGTTTCTATACAAGACATGCTATCCTGAGTTTCAACGCCTATGTCGAAAACGCCCCACTACTTGACTAAATCGCAACATAACCTAGCTCATAGCTGTTTATATAATCCTTTTACAGCTATTGTTCACCATTTTAAATGTTTGTCAAATGCACAGCATTTTTACAGACCAAAGCCACTCTATATTGTTAAGAAGATAGATAAAATTATAATGTAATGTTCTTTATTTGTCTAATTCTTTTCCGTCTGGGCCACTAAACCCGATCCCTATACTAGTATTTTATACACACAAGGGATCAAGTCTTATTGTTCAAACAGACCACGTAAACGATTTTAGCGGTTGTAAATGTAAAAGATCGGCCCAGTTGCGTGACCACATCTTTCCTAATATCCAACAAGCCGTCTTGGTTTCTTTATTCTACACTTGATCGATGAGCTAACAGCAAACCGCCCTGGGTTTGTCTATTAATAATAAATGGAGCTGCAACTGATCTGACATTTTAAGCGACATGTTTAGAGAATGTTGAGTTTTGTAGGGATGGATTTGTAAAGACGACTTGTAGGATTGAAAAATTATGTTCCTGTGGTTTTTACATAGTGGTTAGAAGATGTGTACTTGCACCAAATTAGTCTTAAAGTTGAAGTTTAACACACTGTTTTGTCTATTATTTTGAAACACACAAACAGACAACTAGTTTGAAAATTGCGTGTGATCCTTTCTTGAGAACCAAATTGCATTGTCACTATTATCAATTTTTAACTAATCCTGTTGATTCAATTGATTTAGATTTTATACAAGTCAGACCATTTGGAGTCTTGTTTTTTTACACCATATCTCACTGTTCTTGGCACCCTGTTTTTTGAGGGTACAGAGGGGGTCACAAGAAATTGAGTTACTGTCCGACTACCAAGAACTGATGCACCATTAGAAAAAGAAAAAGTCATACTCAATAACCTTGTCCTTTTCTCACAGCCCCTTCCACCAATAAGGACCAAGGGAAAGAAGACAGAAGCACCAATCAGATTTTTGCCTGCACTGCCAGAGGTAATGTTATATGTACTCTCTTGGTCAATCGTTTTAGATTTCAGTTATTTCAGATGACAGTAAGAAACTTATGTATGGCCTGGTAGTAGCTTTGCCACAGTGGGCTAAAGAACAAAGGTTGGGGTACTCACAGCTCGATTCAAATTTTTTCAGACACGAGCCAAACCAGCATGGCAGACAGCACAGCCGTCGTTTGTCCTCCATGGACAACCCACGGACGAGATGGCAGAAGTTTTCGACCTCACCTCAGAACTTACCAAGGGTAAGAGATATTGTCAATTACTAGAAAGATAACATTTGCAAAGCAAATACATCATGTTTACCTTCACATGAGGGTCTAGCTCATCAAACTACTGCTCTGTTTATTCTTACTCAAACATATTCAAATATATGGTGACTGAGCCTCTCAAACTCTGTTCTGCAACTTGCTACATAATGTAATCCAACACTCCAGGGTGTCTGCTACAGTATTAGTTACCACAGTGACAGCCATTGGGTTCAGGTCATGCATGGGAGTAAGTGGGCAGTACATGGAGGAATTTTGGAAGTAGTTGACTGAATGTAATACCCATTTAAATTACATCATAAATCCCCTCCACAATTCCATTACATACATGAAAACCCCAAAACATGAGATCTAAAGACCCTGATTTCTTGTCGTTGACAGGAACCAAAAGAAGAAAGCTCCACCCGCGGAGTAAAACGTGGGACGGAGCCAATGGTCACACAGAACAGAACGGGATGCCGGACATCAACGGTAAACAGAAGCCCGCCACGTTCTCACATCCGCGCAAGGACAGGGAGTCCTTCAGACAAGCACTGGTCAACATCATCATGTAAGTATCCTGTCAATCAATCAACCAATCAATAAGATTTTTTTGCAACACCTCAGGGGCAAGCCAAATAGTATATCATATACCCTCTTGAAGAAGTTCAGGAATTTCAGAGATATTTTTGTGTTTATATTTGATTTTTTAAATTATTTCCCAGGCAAGCTGACACCCCTCCCAGCCGCCCTGCGTCAGCCAGTGCAGAGCTCCCACCTCTGGACAGACCAGGGTCTCCTACAGCTGCAGAAAAGGACATTCTGGTAGGACCAATCAGCTCATGACTTTTGCCGATAGACTAATCCTGACTGTCAATCAGTTAGCAGTTCAAGCAATGAAAAAGTAGCTTCTTGTTTGCCAGATATATGCATCTGTAGGTTTTTGTTTTGTGGCATCCCTTTTTTTGGTGGAAGTGGGCTATGGGATCAGTCTATATCATCTTCAAAGACCACTAGGTTGTGTACCAAAATGGTTACCTTCTTGTATAGTGTCATCTCTCTTGTATAGTGTCATCTCTCATTGTATTGTCCTTTTTCTCCCCCAGCGTTATTACTACTACATTCACCACGGGATCGACACAGACCATGTTGCGCCCATGGAGGACTCCTGGCTGGACCATGTGCTGGGTCTTGTACCCGACAAACTCAAGGTAAACTTAGAAAAAGACAAAATCATCTTCAAACATCCGGTAAAAATGTGATGCAACACTTGTAACTTATATATTAGAATTATACTTTTTATAATGAAAGGATTTTCTGAATAAGAAAAAAGCATACTAATAGATGTTAAATGGTGGTATAAGAGTATGAGGTTGCAGGGACACTAAAAGGAAGTTAGGTCAGAGGTCCCAGAAAAGGTTATCTCCTTGCCTGTCTTCAGTTCCCTGCTATATGCATGCTCGTTGCCTTTTGGAAGCAGGTCTAAATATTTAGAATTCACAATAACAAATAAGAAGAAACTCACAACAACTCTACTTGTTAGAGGTATGACATCTTCAACTTCTTGTGACTAATTTATTTGACCTTCCAACGACCTTGTAGCACTTGGATGAGCTGATAGAGAACCTGTCAGATGAGATGCGGGAGGACTACCTCCTGAGTGTGAAGAAGGCCATCGTGGACTTTGTCCTGAGGGACCCCAGAGAGAAGGATGATGACAAGAAGGAGGAAGTCTTAGAACACAGAGCTGAGTAAGTAAATTAATGTAGGTTTTCAAAGGGCCTTTGCACATTTTCATTTTGTGGGAAAGTGGGATTGTCGCAACCTAAGGCTAAGTTCAGAGCATAGGGTGTCCCCAGATAAAAGTTAATATTACCATAACACCACATTGTGTGACTGACATTGATTCTTGCTTGTTCTTGTTGCACCTAGACTTGACGTGGTGCCCAAACCGTGGAACCGGTCATACCTGTCTGCGCTCGCCGCCATGCAACAGGACTTGAACATAACCAACCCCACCATGTTGGCTGTGTTAGACCTGTGGCATGTTTCCTTCGGGTAAGTCAGAGGGGAAGTTTTTCATGAAAGATGCAGCCGTGCATAACAGACTGACCATGAGCTCCAAATCCTAACCCCATCTTGTGTAGCTTACCCTAACCCTTACCCCCAACCCAAAATAACATTTACTTCTTTAATTCTTCAGCTTTTCCCATTCTAACCAACATTTCCCAACCCCAGCCAATTTACCATAACCACGATCTAAAACTAACAGCTACATGACCTACTAAATACTAACAGGTGTTTCCCAAGGTTCAGTCCTTGGACCATTGCTACTAGATTCTAATAGTGTTCCCCAAGGTTCAATACTGGAACCACTGCTCTTAACATATACTGTAGACAAACTGTGTTTCAGTGAGTGGTGCCAGTTGCATAATTTTGGTTGCTTTTTCATGAAAAAGTATTCCCTGATTGGTGTATTTCTGTGACCTGCCGTGGTAACTGGACGTTGTGGTAGTAACACCGTTGCTCTTCTGGGTATGGAATGGTGGTCTCAGGGAGCGAATATGTCCACTTACAATGGTTTCTTTCTTGTGCTTTTGAAATTAATGCTTTTAAATGCTTTTAAATGCTGTGATTCTTGACTAACTGATTTTTTACTGACTTTTCCTTCCCACATGATTAAAAGCTGTTATGACAGTATGTTTTAATCAATAAAAAATATATTGCACATTTAGTGAATTCAAAATAAAACTGTTAATACACACTTCATGAGTGTAGTCCTACAAAGAGTTTGAAACAAAATATTCTTTGAATCATAACTGTTGCTTTCTTTTTGGCTAAAGACTAAGTTTCTCAAAGCTTCAGAAACATTTTAAAAAAAGGTTGAAAAAATTTTTGGCGATACCTCTGGAAATTTCCACCCTGGCATGTGCACGACATGGACTCTCCCTGTTGCTATAGCAACCTGCGGCTGGTGGACATCGAGGAGTTTCACCGGCGCCCAGACTCCATGGAGCTGTCGGTGTTCCAGAACCTGGTCATGAAGCACATCGAATCAGCCAAGGAAAAACTACTCAAGAAGTAAGTCAGATGATCTTTGAGTTTCTCTTGAATCTCTTATGGAGCCAAGTATCTTAAGTCCCATGGCATTTCTGCCCAATACTTGCTCCTTGTGTTGGGATTTTCAGACCAAAGGTACTGCTAGCTTTTACCATTTTTTTGTTCTTTTCTCCAAAATACCCCCAATATGTTATACACATTCTGATTCAATAGAAAGAAAAGAGTCCATTTTCCATATATATTATGGATGTTTGGCAAGCAGTCATGATTTTTATTGGAAACAATGCAATAAAAGATACTTTTGTCCTAAACTTGACAATGTGAAATAACTATAGTGCTTCTCAAAGCCATTTATTATGTAAAATGCCAATTACAAAACTACACCATTCCAGAGAAGTCCCGATAATGTCAAGATGACATACATGTGCATGAGAAAAAGTTATGGCTATACTCTGTCCTTGGTGCTGAACTCACCATTCACTCAGTTGAAAGGCTGATCTTTACAACATAGTAGAATTCTTTTTTAAGTGAAAGGTACTTCATTTGTATACAAGTATTACTACTTGTAGTTTCCTGAAGTCACATTATGTATATTACCAAGAGTTAAAAAAGTTGTCAGAAAGCGTAACATTTTCTACTTTACCCTAAACCCAGGTGGTTCCCAGAAGTACAGAACATCTACTACCAGGGTAACAAGAGGAAACAGGTGCCCAACAACCATAACGGCCGTAAACTGGAGATGTTCTTCAACTGTGCGGCCACACTGATGACCTCTCACCTGCAGAGCCTGGCCCTGGCGTCCATCCAGGACTACACTGACCTGCTGTGTCAGCCACCGGTCAGTTCTGCAACTCTTTTCTTTACCAAAGTCAAGAAGATTATGTTTTTTGTTAGTTTTTACTGTTTCTTAACAGTATGCATGTAACTAAAAATGTTGTGAATAAATTGTTTAAAGCTACCTAGTGATGATGCCCCTACTGTACTTGGTGCCAAGGCTTTCGTCTCTGCTATCATAGTTCTAGGAAAAAACAAGTTTTGAACACCTCAATCCTTGGTTGATAACTCTGTTATTTGAAGACATGACTAATTTGATAATAATTGTTCTTTTCTGAGCTGATATCAGGTAGTTAACCATCTTATTACAATCTTTTCATCATTTTTGCCTGAATCTGTGTTTCAGACCTCTATCCGGGCCTATGAACACCCAGGTTTCGTGATGCGGCTCATTTTGGACAACGTGTCCATCAAGTTTGAGCCTGACTTCAAGGACTTTGAGATCGTCCTGCTGAACGTGTTTGATGTGATGATCAAAGCTGTGAACGTGGTGCCCCGGGTAGAGACCAAACTCTACACAGAATGGGTAAGTCTATCGTTTTTTTTTAAAGATGCTCTTTCCCCGAGCTCTAAGCAGAGAAGGCAGTATGTGCCATTTCAAGTCTTTAGTATGACTTGTTCAGGTATCAAACTGACCTACCAAAATTTGATGAACAAATGCTCTAAGACTAGTTGCTATAGTCTTGGCCATTGCAGATAAAGTATCAGTTAGGTCCTAAATGACCAATATGTACTACTTTGGGCCTTGAAAATTGCACTGATCTGATCATATTAACCTCACTACCGCCAAATCCTGTAACCAATTGGCTTCCTTGGTGTGCTAAAGATTAGGAGGTCAGAAATGAAGAAATCACACTAAGTCATTTTATTTCTGTCCCACATATAAATGATTGTATGAAACTTATGTGACTCTTTTTTCTCCATCACCAGTCCGGGAACAGGTCCAAGGCGACGCTGAAGCCGGTGATTCTGGACGAGATTCTGGAGAACGCCAAGGAGAAGGTGAAGGAGATCATCGCGGCCGAGAGCGCTGGTCCTAACCAGCACCTCCGCAACTTCGACAAGTATCAGTACCTCGTTAACAAGCAGGTCAGTCAGCACTTTTTTTACTTCCTTGTAGTATGGAAGTATTGTTATGAGTGTCCAAGTTATAGGTTTGTGTGTATATTTTTGTCTGCAGAAAGTTGGTTGACAGAACATGGGTGGGGGACATATAGATTGACATCCAGAAAGTCAAAAGGTCAGACACAGGAAATGGGGTACGGGTGAGCAAGATTGACAGGTTACAGCTTTGTTTAGTATTGTTCTGTGAGGAAGTATACAATGCCTTATGTTGTTTGTCTTTATTTCAGGCTGAACAAGATGTTGACCAGTTCTTGGCGGAGACTCACTCCTTCCCAGAGTACGCACAGGAAGTCAAGAAGTACCAGGATCTCATAGATGACATCACATACAACTCACGCAAGGTAACATAGCAATGTCATTACAACTATCAGATAAAGGACTTTAAATTTTATGTAATGTGTCATTGGAAGTAATTCTTAGGTTCTTTCAGAGTTTTAGATTTGTGCATTCAACAACTTTGTAATTACCAATATTGACAAGTTTATATTAAGTAATTAGTGTTGTAAATATATTTTTTCAAAGGACAGTCACTGTCAATAGACAGTTACTGTATATATATTATTGCTTTGCTTTCAAATTAGTGTCTTTGCAATAAAGCTTAATATAGAGTTGTTAGTAGGTGAATTATTTTCTGTGTTAGTTTAATTTAAAACCTCTAATGGGGATGTCCTAATTTGAGATTACAGTCGCTAAAATGGTTAAGATTGTTTTGCAAATGCACCTTCCTGTCTGATTAGATTAGGGCATCCTCCGCTTAAGTTGTAGCAATATGTCTCTCAGCGATAGTGTATTAAGTAATGTTAGTAGCTTTGTAGTAAAATAAAACTTGCCTTTCTCTGCCCACTTTTGTAGCTCAGACCGGTGAGTTCCAGTTTAGACTAGTAACACCTTGCCTATCACGTTACCACTGCAGTGGTCACTCATTTAGGGGGCATGTGGTTTATCATCACATCTTCACATAGCAATACGCACAAGCACTCTCCCAAATTGTTTGATCTAAATTTATTTCAGCACATTTTTTGGAACCGTTGCACAGTTGGTTGAGCATGTTATGTTAGTGGTGCTACTTACTCATAGATAATTCAGCAAGCAATCTTTGCTTTGGGGTTTCCGGAAAAGATAGAGCAGTGTACCTGGCCAAGCTATCTTACCAGGCTACCCTTTTTGAGCCTCAAGGACATGCATTGGGGTTTGAAAAGGCTAACAAACCAGGCAATAGGTACACTGTCTCACTTTTTCTGGAAATTATGTTGCTGTCAATTCATTTGGAATGACTGCATGGGAGTTTTAAATTTTTTTTTCAAAAGTAATATTGTCTATTTCAAAAGTAAAATTGTCTATACTGAGCAAACTTATGCAGAAAACCACAAACTCTTACAGAGGATGCACATTACTGAATGAAGAACACAATTGCTCTCTGAGGGTGTTGAAGTGCATGCAACATTTGATAGCAATGTATAATGTTTGGGTGCCCCTCTACACACACACATACCTGTTTGAACATTGACCTATGACGTGTGCCCCCCTCCCCCCCCTCAGGTGATCAGACTGGGTATGTTTGAGCTGCACTGTGATGAGTTGATCCGTGGCCTGGCCAAACGTGCGGAAACCCTGATGAACAAACTACTGCAGCGCATGTCCAGGGACCACCAGGAGGCCAACAGAAAGTTAGTAATCATAACCAACTTCTTTGTTTGTTTGTTGAAGAGCTTCAACTTTTATGTAATTTTGTATACCAGTAGTAAACTTTTCTTTTAGGAATAGACTGATCCCATAATCCTGCCCACCTCTGGCGAAATGTAGACATGCGAAATATAAACATAAACTAAGATGCAAATTTTCTCAGTTTAATTAAGAAATTCTGACTGAAAACCTTCTGTGTTGTCTACAGGTTGTGTGAGGAATATGAGCTAATAGCGGAGAAGGCTCTGACCACACCTGCCAACACACAGGAACTCATGGAACTCAAGGTACAGTAAATTCAGTTATTCAGCTATTTCAAATGTTTCAAGTATGAAATGATGACAAAAACATGCTAAGAAATTGCAGTAAATGTCAATATCGGACAGATTTCCTCATCCAGAATATTTTTGCTTTGCCACCCCAAAATCACATTGAATGACATTTAAAACTTTTTGTTTCTTCTTTTTCTTAGCAATACATTGAGAAGGTAGAGAAGCAGGACATTGTAGAGATGGACAAACGTTTGGAGGAGGCTAAGAACCGGCTGGTGTTCCTGGTGGACTGTACGCAGTTCTCGCCCGGAGAGATGCGGATGAACAACAACACCTTCCAGTGGCACACACGCATGCCTGAGGTGTTCGAGGAGCACAAGAGGATTGTTGGTGACAAGAGGGAGCAATATGAGGAAGGTCTCAAGGTATAGACACACATCATTATGTTATGAAATGCTTACTAATAATTTAAAGTTTGAAGATTTTTGCTAAACATCACATGCATGGGCTGACGAAATGTTGAATTTTGAAAAGGCAGATTTTTTTACTGGCCTTTGATCAAGCTTTCATAGTCTAGATAAATAATTGCAGTTTTGTGATTGACTTGTGATTTTGTGGCTTGCTGTCATTTTGCGCCTTGGTTTCCCACATTCCTACCTACAGTACCACGGCTACAATTGTCTTTCCTTTGACCTTCAAATTCAAAATGGCAGAAGGTCATCTAAAAATGAGTAAAATTTGTCCAATGCTACAATGGTCTTTTGACCTCCAAATTCAAGATGGCGGAAGGTCATCTAAAGTTTTCCAATGCTACTATGGTCTAATGGTCTTTTGACCTTCAAATCCAAGATGGCGGAAGGTCAGATACAAAGTGAATACGTAGTTAACTCATCCGTCATTTCCCATTTACAGCTTCGCCGTGAGCGTTTCACAGAAGAGCTGGAAGGCTACAACAAACAGCTGGAGGAGTTCAACACCTTCGGTGACCTGAACGAGATCCATCGCTACCTGAAGAAAGCTCAGGCCCTCAATTCACGTCTAGATGCTGCCGCAGAAAAGGTAGCCATTTTCATCAAAAGTACAGTACAGTGATGGAAAACAATTAGTTTGTGTTACCAGTAAGCAACATGTAAACAGTGAAATGGCTTACCCATGAGAAGAAATATTAGGGTAGTAGCAGAGAGTGCAATTTGCATAGCATTTGTTAAATTGTATCTGGTTGGTTGTTGGTTTAGATCGAGCAGTTTAACCAGGAGGAGGAGGCGTTTGGCTGGCAGACGACGGCGTATCCCGGTCGCCAGAAGATCCTGAACGTTCTCACCCCATACCTGAAACTGTACGAGACAACCGTGGAGTTCAACAACAAGTACAAGTACGTGTTTCATACACTGATATCCTCTACTACTTACTTTAACATTGAATAGTTTGTGTGAAGTTTCAGTTGGGTTCAGCACCAAGGACAGGGACAGTCTGAGTAGAACAACATATTCAGAAATAAGGACAGGAATGACATATCCTCTGTACAGTTACAGTTACTGTCACAGTATTAAAATTTAGTTTGTGTTATGTTTCATTTGGGTTCAGCACCAAGGACAGGGACAGTCTGACTAGAACAACATATTCAGTACCATATACAACAATGGCATGTCTGCTAAACATTGACTGTGACATTACTTAGTTTGTTTGAAGTTTTAGTTAGGTTCAGCACCAAGGACAGGGGCAGTTTCAGTAGAACAACATATTCAGTACCATCAAGACAACAAATAAGATGAAATAAAATGAAACAAAATGAATAGAAAATGAATTGAAAGATCAAAGATCTCATTTCTCCATTTTTCTGAATTTCCTCTCAGTCTGGCCTGTGTAGCATGTGGAAATAACTAAAGAAACACAAGTAAACACACTGAAAACAAAATCTCAGTAGAAGGAGGTATTGAACATTACAAGTATGGTTGTTAATTTTATGTATAATTTTTTTTAGGGAGTGGATGGAGGGTCCGTTCCAGGAGGTGAACCCTGACCAGGTTGAAAACGATGTTGGGAACTACTGGAGAAACCTCTACAAACTGGAGAAGGGCTTTGATGATATTCCAAATGCACAGAAGATGGCAAATAAGGTAAGTAGACTAGACATGCATGTGTGTGTGTGTGTGTGTGTGTGTGTGTGTGTGTGTGTGTGTGTGTGTGTGTGCTATGTGTGTGTGCATGAATGTGTGCATGAATGCATGTATGTGTTATGTAATG